CTTGCTTGATATGCGCAAGTTCTATGACCTGGTCTGTTTGCCTGACCTCGCCCAAGCTTCTCACGACCTCCACTATCCTCTCCGCCTCCTCGTCCTGGCCCTGGATGTGTATCTTGGGCCCAGGATGTTGACGCTCCAGCAGCAGGTCCACCCAGGACTTCTTCCTGGGGGTGGGATCTTGGCGGGGTGTGGCCAGGCGGTCTCCCAGGCCCGGTCGTATTTATATGAGCCTTTGGAGGCTACTAACAATTCGGCTCCAGGGCTCAGGCTTCGGGAATGGGTGGACGACATCTCTTTCCGCCTCCCTGGTTCGGAATATTCCATTGGCATTTCTTTTCCGATAGTCTTGCGTGCTCTTCTTCAGGGCCTTCGCAGACGTAAGTGTGTGCTAGCGCTCACGAAGTGTTATTTGATGGCCTCCTCGGCCAGCCTCCGCCGCAAGCTAGCCGGCTGGGCGGAGGAAGCTGGGGGAGAAGCTCCTCGGCTAGGCCAGGCCACCGCGGCCCGAGATTTGGGCCACGACACGACCATGGGCGCCTCCAGGTCGGTCAAGGTTAGGAAAGCCCGATTTTTGAAGGGCAGGCGTGCGGCTCTCAAGATTGCTGGTCTAGTTAGGACCTCTCCTAAGTCCTCGAAGCTGTACCTTTCCAACGCTTTTCCGAAAGCTGTCTGGGCCCCTGAAGTCCACGGGCTGGCCCCCAGCATGGTCAAGCAGCTCCGTGGACAGGCGCGGCTGAGCAGTAAGTGCCCGCAGAGAGGCTCTTGCGCCACCACGGCTATTCGAATCAGTCTGGGCTCTAGCCGTGACCCTGCTATAATGTACATCAGGCGTCTCGTCGGAGCTTGGTTCGCTAGAGTTTTTCGGTCCCCTGAGCTAGTTGCACGTATCGATGCGGTGTGGTCGGAATCTCTCGAGCGTGTGAAAAAAGGCTGGAATTTAGTTCGGGGGCCCCTAGGTGCTTTTCAAGCCTCAATTTTGGACCTCGGCTGGAGCTGCCCGTCGATCACGAGCTTGGTGGGGCCCAACGGTGACGAATGGGCCCTTCAAGATGCCGGCCTTGCTCCCCCCTCCTGCCTTCTTGATGCTTTCGAGGCCTCTGCGGAGGCTTCGATTTGGGAGCGAGCGGCGAAGCACCTTGATGGAGCTGGCTCTGAAGCTGGGGTCTGGTGGCAGCATGTAGTCTCCCTTGCCTCCAGGCTGGAAGCCGATGATAACCGCGCGATGGCGAGCATGGTCCGTCTCACTGCCTGTGGAGGCTATTGGACTGAGCAGCGTAGGTTCGAGGCAGGCTACCGCTCGGATCCGGACTGCCAGAGGTGCAAGGCGGCTCCGGAGACCAGCTCCCATAGATTTTGGAGCTGCCAGTGCAACACGTATGAGGAGGCTTGGGCTCTCCAAGTAGGCAGTCAGCCCCCCCCGCCCGAAGTCGTGGCCACCAACCAGCTGATCCCCGAAGCCCTCCAGGAGGTTGGTAGCTGCCCAGTGTTCTGGTGCCGTGGACTGGTCCCCCTTGCTTGGTTGGAGCTCCCTCCTCCTCCCTCGTCCAAGGACCATGTCTGGATTCGACGGCCTGAGGGCACGCACCTCCCTGGGGGCATTTATGGGGTCGATGGCTCAGGGGGCATTTGGTCAAAGAGCTCACTTCTTCGGCGGGTGTCTTGGGCCTTTGCACGCCTGGATCCTGAAGGTCTTGATGGCCTAGGTTGGGACTCGGGGTGCACCGGTGTGGTCGACAGCCCTAAGCAGTCTGTGCCGAGGGCCGAGTTGTGTGCTATTGTCGAGTGCGTTAGGGCTGTCGACCATTCAGCGGATCTTTTTATTTGGTGTGATCACATCAATCATGTTCGATCCCTCAGCAAAGGGAGACACCACTGTTTTAAATTAGAGCACGCGGATTTGTGGCATGAGCTGTATGCTCTCCTGCACGTGCGTTCAGGCAGTTTTGAGCTGCAGCATGTACCGTCCCACTTGGCCGATGATGAGACTAAGTTTCAGAGGCTGGCTGCAGGTGTCCCACCTGGGGCTATCTTCATCAACTCAGTAGCGGACGGCCTTGCGGACTCTAGGTGCGAGCTTTGCCAGATCGCCCCTGATGTTTGCAAGAGAGCTCTCGACCTCGTCGCCAAGGCTGAGTCGGTTCTTCTCCGCAATGCGAGTTTGTCAATTGCTGCTGCCTCATGTCCTCGTGTGCCGCTCCGAGAGGTCAAGCCCGTGCCAGTCCCTCCCGATGAGAGGCGGACTAAGAGGCGCGAGGCGGCAGCGGCAGCCTCCTCCCACCGTTTTCAGGCCATAGGTGCGGGCTGGCGTTGTCTCAGGTGTGGCAAGCTGGCCCTCTCCAGCAGCTCATCCGTCATGGCCTACCTGAGGACTGCCTGCCCCGCCCGCCCCCCCGGTCCCGCCCAAGAGCCTCCTGATGCTGAAGCTGGAGGGAGAGGAAGGAGGCCAGGAGCTGTTGTGCTCTCGGATAAGTGTTTAAGGCTTCCGCCCATAGATGAGGCTCTTTTCAGGACTGTCTGTGGATCGCACCCGCCGAGGCGTCTTGAAGGCAGGGGATTTCTTGGCAAGATGCTTCACACCTCCCACGACTTGTGGGAGAAAGGCTCATATTGCTTTTGTAGTAAATGCGGACGGTACACGTCCTCTGCGAATCCTGGTTTTCTAACAGGTTTGTGTGAAGTCGACCAATATGGTCGACATGATCTTGTCAAGGCGCAGTACACTTCGCTGCAGCGCCTCAGGAAGGGATTGCCTCCCAGGTGCGGAATCAGCTCCTGGGGTGAAGGGTACAGTGGGCACAGTGCCCCTACACCCTCAACCTCCTCTTGCAGTGGGGGTGGTCGGATCTCTTAGTGATCCGTGTCTGTTTCACCAGGCGTTCAATCTCAGGTTTCCTGATGCTTGTGCTGCCTGCAGCTCCTAGCAAAAAACGCCTCCTCCTCCTTCTCCTCCTTCTCCTCCTCCTCCTCCTACTCCTCCTCCTCTTCCTTCTCCTCCTCCTCCTCCTCCGCCTCCCGCCTTCTCCTCCTCCTCCTCCTCCTCCTCCTCCTCCTCCTCCGCCTCCTCCTCCTCCTCCTCCTCCTCTCCTCCTCCTCCTCCTCCTCCTCCTCCTCCTCTCCTCCTCCTCCTCCTCCTCCTCCTCCCTCCTCCTCCTCCTCCTCCTCCTCCTCCTCCTCCTCCTCCTCCTCCTCCTCCTTCTCTCCTCCTCCTCCTCCTCCTCCTCCTCCCTCCTCCTCCTCCTCCTCCTCCTCCTCCTCCTCCTCCTCCTCCTCCTCCTCCTCCTCCTCCTCCTGCTCCTCCTCCTCCTCCTCCTCCCTGCTCCTCCTCCTCCTCCTCCTCCTCCTCCTCCTCCTCCTCCTCCTCCTCCTCCTCCGCCCCCGCCGCTTCCCGCGGGGGCGGCCATAGCGCCGCCCCTCCCCACCCCCTGCCGATATGGTGCTCGTCTTCGGCGGGCGCCCTTCCGCGCCCTGCTGATGCCCACGGCGTGTCCGAGTCGGGCGCGCCATCGGTGGCCCGCACCCCGCCCAGGGCTCGTTTCGATTCCTCCGATTCGATTCGATTCGATTTCGATGGTCTCCGATTCCGATTCGATTCCACTCGGGATTCCGATCTGGGCTCCGATTTCTCATGGAGGCATACTAGCATCCCGATTTCCGCCGATTCCGACTTTCCCCGACTCGGCGGCCGAGTTCCGCCGACCCGATCCACCTCGATCGCCGATCCGACTCATTTGATCCGATGCTGGGGTCTCCTGCCCCCCTCCTCGTCCTGCCTCCCCCCCCCCCTCGCGTCGTGGGGCTCTGGGCGAGTCCGCCCCGTCGACCAGGACGCTGCGCTGTCTGCAACTGATGTTGTGGGGCCAGGCGTGTCGCTCTCCGCCGGGTTGCTGGCGCAACACGCTGCGGCGCGCCGCACGAACCACTTCACAGCACCCAGGCGTTATGTCGGGCACGTCCCTCCACAGGAGGAGTATCCACCAAAAACAGTCAAAAGCATAGACTGGGGACGAGTTCCACATGATTGTTTGACTATTTAGGGGCCTTTTTTTCTGTCGTGTTCGACTTTCGCCCAAAAGCCGCCTGCAGGGGGACAGGCCCGACCTGGCACGAACCACCTCACAGCACCCGAGCGTCAGCGCCACCGGCGGGTTCCCCGCCCTCCCTTCGCGCGGCGCGGAGCGGCACGCGGTCCGTTCTCGGGGCAGAGCGCGTCGCCAGGGTTGCCGCCGTGACGCGCGAGGCAAAGTTCCTCTTGTTTCTGCACCTCATATCAATGAAAGCTCGTCTTCCTCACCCTCGTCCTCCTCCTCCTCCTCCTCCTCCTCCTCCTCCTCCTCCTCCTCCTCCTCCTCCTCCTCCACCTCCTCCTCCTCCTCAAGCCTCTTCTCCCTCCTGCCCTCCTCCAGCTCCTCCTCCTCCTCCTCCTCTTCTCCTCCTCCTCTTCCCTTCTCCCTCCTCCTCCTCCTCCTCCTCCTCCTCCTCCTCCAACCCCTCCCGAAAGACTCGATCCTCCTCCATCTCCCCAGACATCCTCCGCATCCTCGTCGGAAGCATCGATCCCTTTCGTTCCTCCTCCTCCTCCTCCTCTTCCTCCTCCTCCTCCTCCTCCTCCTCCTCCTCCTCCTCCTCATCTCCTCTCCTCCTCCTCCTCCTGTTCCTTCTCCTCCGCCTCCGCCTCCGCCTCCCTTCTCCTCCTCCTCCTTCCTCCTTCCCTCCTCTCCTCCTCCTCCTCCTCCTCTTCCTCCTCTCTCCTCCTCCTCATCCTGCTCCTCCTCCTCCTCCTCCTGTTCCTTCTCCTCCGCCTCCGCCTCCTTCATCTCCTCCTCCCCCTCCTCCTCCTTCTCATCCTCCTTCCTCGAACCTCGATCCTGTCTCCTCCTCCTCCTCCTCCCCTCCTCCTCCTCCTCCTCCTCTCCTCCTCCCCTCCTCCTCCTCCTCCTCCTCCATCTCTCCTCCTCCTCCTCCTCCTCCTCCTCCTCCTCCTCCTCCTCCTCCGCGCCGAGGTCCATACCCAGAGAGCTGATAGACGCCTACGAGCGCGAGCAGAGGCGCCTGCACGCGGAGCACCTGGCGGCGGCCCCGGCCACGCCCCGCGAGCGCCGGAGCGCTCGGCGAGGAGGGCCGGGTCGGGAGGTTCGGGCGACACGGCTGATGGGCCTGTTGTCCACCACCACCACCACCATAAGTTGGAGGGGGGGAGGGGAAGGAGTAGGAGTAGAGTAGGAGGAGGAGGAGGAGGCGGAGGAGGAGGAGGAGAGGAGGAGGAGGAGGAGGAGGAGGACCCCCTCCCCCTCCAACTTCTGGTGGTGGTGGTGGAAAACAGGCCCATCAACGGCTGCCGGAAGTCCATTGGTAGGCACCACATTTAGGGGAACGAAGAATGACAGAAACAGAACAACTTGGAGGTCCGCGCGGATTTCTCTCGGATCGGCGCTGGGGCCCCCTGGCGGCGCCTCCGGCGCCGCCCCTGGCGCGCCCGGCGCGCCAGGCAGGGGGGGTCCAGCGCGGACCCGAGAAAACCGCGCGGACCTCCGAGTTTTTATTCTTATGTAATTTCTCGTTCCCCTAAGAACACGGGTGTCGGCCGCTGCCTCCATCGAGGGGAGGCGCTCCCCATCTCTCAGAGGTGGTGGCAGCTTTTTCCGGGCTCCGTGGCACTATGTCCACCACCGCCAGCACCAAAGTCCAGGATCATCCCCTCGCCCCTCGCCCCCCCCCTTGTGAGGGCAGGTGCTGCTGTGCGCTCCAGCCGTCCAGCAGCCCAGGCCCCCCCTTGGGCAGTGGAGAAGCGCCACGGCGGCGAGTCTTCCACAGCCCTCTCGGCCTCGCGGGGCCCGCGCTGGGCCCCGGGGATGCGAGGCCAGTCCTGGGCAAGGGCTCCCTCCTCCATCCTCCCACGCCCACGTGAAATCCCCCTCGCCCTCCTCCCTCCTCCTTCCTCCCTCCTCCCTCCTCCCGCCCCCCTCGAGCAGTGGAAGCACCACGGCAGCGAGTTTCCCGCAGTTCTCGGCCTCCCGGGGCCCTAGCCGGGCCCTGGGGACGCGAGGCCAGTCCCGGGCAAGGGCTCCCTCCTCCCGCCTCTCCTCCTCCTCCCTCCTCCCTCCCTCCTCCCTCCCTCCCTCCTCCTCCCTCCTCCCTCCTCCCTCCTCCCTCCTCCCCCTCCCTCCTCCCTCCTCCCTCCTCCCTCCTCCACGACGTCGGAGGTCGGGATCGGAACGGCCAGGGGTAACAACAGGGGAGGGGATAGGCTCAGAGGGGGATGCGCCGACCCCCGATCGCCTATTGATCACCGATAGGGGTCCGCTACCCCACACTCTTTTTTTCGCCATCTGGGGCCTGTCGCCGATCCTTCGGCGGCGTCTTGCCGATTCTGGCCCGATGTTTCCCCCCTGAGCTGGCCCCCCCTATGCTGGCAATGTTCGGGCTTCTTGGTGGCCGACAGACCACCAGCACCAAATCTAGGATCATCTTCCCTTGGCGACGGCGATCCCACGTGTTGGTGTTGGTGCAAATTTCCAGGCCTCAGCGTTGCCCAGTATCGGTGCCCCTCATGTGAGGGTCCTGACGGCGTTCGCCATGGCCCTCAACCGTGCCATCTTGTCGTCCTGCTCTTTGATGGTCTTCTCCATCTCCTGCTGCAGCTCGCCGTTGCTGGCGCTACAGACTCCAGCTTGCCGTCCTGGTCCGTGATGGTGTTCTCCATTTGCTGCTGCTTCTTGACGCTGGCAGCGCACTCCGTCTTGAAGGCGAGTGCGATCTGTAGCTCGTCCATGCGTTCCAGGGGGGAGGCCTTCGTCTTGCCTTCGTCAGCCTTCACATTCACCAGCTTGATCTTCTCCTCCTTGCGTTCGGAGTCCAGCGCCTTGCTCAAAGCCTCCGCCAGCCCAGCACGAGCTGCATGGGCCTCTGCATTCCGGATCTTGGAGGCCTTGCCAAGCATTTCTCGCCAACGCCACAGCGGGGCCGATCCGATCCGATCCCGACTCCGTGCCGATGCGGCCCGCCCCGCCGCACAGACCGATCCTGTGCGATGTTTCCCGATCCGATGCTGACGGATCCTGCCTCTGCCAGCATCCGAGCTGCTACAGGGGAGGGTTGGGAGCGGACCAAGGTCGCGCGCGCACATGAACTCTCATTGGCTTGGGGAGCACGCGCTGCACATTGCACGAGCACTCGCAGCACGAGGCTCCCGGTTTTTGCACACGGCAGCACTACAGGTCCGTTTGAGTTGTCCCGTTTCGTGTTGCGGTTGTTTCCCGAGTCCGGCGCCGTTGTTCTTCCGGTTTCGTCGCCGTTTGCTCTTGTTTTCTGGTTCTTTGCTCCGTGTTTTTTACGGTGAAGCGGTGAAAACACGAAGAAACGACCCTGCCGTTTCCAAGAACCAGGTCCTCGCTTTCTGTCCATCCTATCCCGGCGCCGAGGCCGCCACTGGCGCCCTCGCGCCTGGCGCCCTCGCAAGGGCCCTGGCCAAGCCGGAGCCGGCCGCCGCGCGCCAGGGAGGGGGCCCAGCGCCGACACCAAGAAATCCACGCGGAGCTCCAAAAGTTTATGTTTATGCCGTTTCCTCTTGCTCTCATGGCCGTCGGCCCATCTCGCCAACGTGCCTGGGTTGTGGACAGTGGGCCTCTAGTTCTTCGCTGGGATGTCGCAGGGGGCCTCTTGGGGGCCGGTTAGACGCCTCTTGGGGCTCGCTTTTTTGGGCCCCATGAGATTCGACGTTGCGACAAACTTGCAACGTCGCCAAGAATCGCGACCAGAGGTCCTTTTTCGCGCCCGATCGAGTTCTGAGGGTCCCGGGACCCGAAACCCGGCGAAAACGCGTGCTGTGAAAAAAATGCAACACCATGATCGCAGGTGGAGGCCTCTTCCTTAGACCTTCCAGAGTGCTGAAAATAGCCTTCCAAACCTATAGACAGACCTATCTGAGCTGCCTAAAACCTCGACAGGAATTTGGATGGCGAGGTCCTGGTGCTATTTCTGTGAGCCCTCCTGGAAGGTCAAGGCCGTCGGCCCAGACCCCCGACGTCATGATTTGTTCATAACGCCGACCCCCAGAGGTCTGAACCCGTTCCCCAGTACCGGTTTCCCATCCTCAGTCGTCTATTGACGGTCCCGAGGCCTGGCGAGGGGCCCCAGTCTCCGAAAATGGTAAGAAACTTCCCGCCATGATTTTTTCATCACTCGAGGGGGTCTGCTTGGATCGCCCCGGGGCTTGCTGAGGGGATAGAGGGATACAAGTGGATGCGAAGGTGGGTTCTATCCAGCCTAACCCAGCTGAGAAGTGGGCGGCACATGCCCTAAGTGGCTTCAGGGCGCACAGATCTTAGCTAAGTGGGCGGAGCCCACTTAGCGGAGTTACCTCACCATCCTAAGCCACACAGGGCACCTGTAACCCACTAAGAAGTTGGGTCAGGCCAGCTAGAGCCCACTGTAGCATCCACTTCTGACCCCCCCATCCCCCTAGCAACGACCGCGGCGATCCAAGCGGGGGGCCGTTTCCTCCCTCCTCCCTGCCCCTCCGACTCCCCGCGCCGAGGCCGCCGCCGGCGCCCCCGCGCCTGGCGCCCCCGCGGAGGCCCCGGCGAAGCCGGAGCCCGCCGCGTCGCCCTCGGGCGCCCCGCCGCCCCAGCGCTGCCACCGCCGTCGCCGTCGCCGTCGACGTCGTCGTCGTCGTCGTCGCCTTCGCCGTCGCCGTCGCCGTCGCCGTCGCCGTCGCCGTCAGCGTCGTCGTCGCCGTCGCCGTCAGCGTCGTCGTCCTTGTCGTCGTTCTTGCTCGGTGTACGGCCAGGACCCCAGGCACAAGGGGACCCGGTGAACTAGTGGTAGGGCCCCGGAGGCCTCGAGCTGGCCAGAGTCACTAAACCAGGTCTGCCGCAGCTGGTGTTTTTTCGGGTGACGGCAGTTCTGGTTACGGTAGGTTTGCGTCGTGTCGACCAGCGGCGACCCTAGCGCGGGCGTTCAAGGTTGAACGCCGCCGGCGACCCAGAATCGATCGATTTTGAACGATCGGACGTTGCGGCAGCGGCCGATCGTTCAAGGTTGAACGATCCCTGCGGTGTCAGAAACCAACGCTGGGGTCGGCACGACACGAACCTGCCGTAGTGGAACGGGGCGGGGGGGGGGGCGTCCCCCAGTACACATCACCAAACCAAGTCCCACTAAACCCAGTTCTGCCAATACCCGAGTTGCCGTTGTCGCCGCCGCCGCACTGGTTCCGACGAGCAGGGAGGAGAGGGCGAGGCTCGAGGCTCTGGGTTCGAGAGGGCTTTTGTTACATTGTTTGGTCTTTGGTGGCCGTTTGCGGGCCCCGGGATTGTCAGAAACGGATCCGGGGTGAAAAATTGATGGACCCCAGGAACGGTCTGTAGACCGGTTTTGAGCGGATTTGGCCTCATCATCCCCCTCACCGATTTTTCTGTTGCCCAAACCGACCCCCGAGCCGCCTCCAGAATAGAGGGTCGATGTCGTCGTCGTCGTCGTCGTCGTCTTCGTCGTCGTCGTCGTCGTCGTCGTCTTCATTAGCGTCGTCCCTGAGATCCGAGCGTGGCATCCTTTTTCACACTGGCCGTGTTCATCCCTGGCCTCTCGCAGGTGGATGCGGTTCGAGAAATGCCTCAGATTGATTGGGTCTAAGGCTGCGATAGTGAGCTCTCTCGATGCTGCAAGTTGTTCGCAACTTCGGATATCAGGATCGTCGTTCTCGTCGTCGTCGCCGCCGCCGCCGTTGCTGTCGTCGTCGCCGTTGCTTTCGTCGTCCTCGTCGTTGTCGTGGCCGCTGACAGGCAGGTGCGCTGGGTTCCCGGCTCCTCCACAGAAACACCAGCACTCTCAACAGCGTCCTCGGGGAGCCTTCGGCATCGACTTTGCGGGGGAGGAGGCCCCGCAGCTCCTTCTGAGGGAATCCTTGGATATCCAGGGTTTCATCACGACATCCTCAGCTGTCCAGAGTTTTAAAGGAACAAAAAAAAACAGGCGCGACCCATATGAGGGGAACGTTTCTTGAACGGCATTGCATGGCATAGCTTCGAGTCGCATTGTTTTGCTTGATGTTGCTTTGCATTGCTTGGCTTGTGATGTCCCTACCTGTTTTAGCCTTGATCACCAGAAAGAATTGCGAGCACCAGAAAGTAGCGAAACTGGAGGGATGTCACGTGTCGGGCCCTGGGAGGCGATGTTCGTTCGACATTGTTTCGATACTTTTCTGGGTGCTCGAAATTGTTTCGGGGATGTGGTCCTGAAATACTATGGGCACAACCTAATGCTTGGCGTGTCTTGGTATTGTTTGGCGTTGCTTGGCATTGGTTGGCGTTGCCTAGCATCGCTTGGCATCGCGTGGCATTGCTTAGCGTTGCTTGACGTTGCTTGGCGAGTCTTGGCATTACTTGCCGTTGCTCAGCATTGCTATTAAACAAGACCAGCAGCCAGAAGCAAATTTGTTTTCCAACAACAGAAGGGAATAACACCAAGAAATACGGGGAGCGTTTTCCAAGGACAGTACGGAAGCATGACCTAGCAATCCAGAGACAGATTGTTCAAAAACAGTTCAGGAAATAAGACCAAGCAATCCCACCAGCCCTCTGGGCGTCGGTGGTTTAGAGAGTTTCCTCTTCCACCCCTCCTTCTTCCCCTTCGGGGAGGTGTTTGCCCCTCTCCCTACCCCTTCCCCTGGACCTGGACAGGGGGTTCCCCCCGCGAGGTGTCGGAGCGTCCAAAACGGCCTCGGCGAGGAAGCCACAATCATTGGTTTTACTATGTTGTTGGCCCCATTTTGGCCTCTGGGGGGGGGGGGGGACGCCAATTGTGACCATCCCCTTCTTTGCTCGATGTCCTCCAAGATGGCCCCAAGAAGCGCCAGGAGTCCAAAGAGGCCCCAAGATGGCCTCAAGAGGCCCCCAAGAGGCCCCCAAGAGGCCCCCAAGAAGATCCCAAGCGGCCCCAAGAGGCCCCCCCGAGGCACCCGAGACGCCCGAGAGCCCCCCAGGACCGCCAAGAGCCCCCCCAGACGTCCCAAGATGCCACCAAGAAGCGCCCAAGAGATATCCCAAGAGGCTCCGACAGGCATCCAAGAGACCTCCAGCTCATTTGCTTGCCCTCCTCCTCCTCCTGCTCCTCAGTCCTCATCCTATTCCTTCTCTTCCTCCTCCTCTTCGTCCTCGTCATCCTCCTCATCCTCCTCCTCCTCTTCTCCTTCCTCCTCCTCCTCCCCACTCCCTCATTCGTCCATCCATCCATCCATCCATCCATACAGCCTCCTCCTTCTCCTCCTCATTTCTCCTTCGCACGATTCGGCCGTCCCCCTCTTCGCTTCCGCACTTCCCTGGCCACCTCAACTCGCCTAGACATCGTTTCTGGATGAGCTGGTGGGGATACTTGTTCCTCGCGGGCGCAAGCGGAAGCGCAGGCGCCGAGTTGAAAGGTCCGGGCCACGGGCCGATTTAATTAGCAACGCGCGAGCCTAAAAGCGCAGCGACCGAGCCCGGAATCAGAACCTACCGCCGGTGGGGCAGCTGGCTGAGGCTGAGCTGGCTGAGCTGACTGCAAACGGCCAGGGTAGCTGATGCAAACGTGCGGGTGAATTGGCTGGTGGGGATACTTTTTCGGTCGCGGCCGCGAGACGACGGTCAGGCGGCGAGAGCAAAGTCCGGGACGCGAACTAGGCGAATTAGCAAGAATGCGTGGTGCGCACATGCACTGAGCAAAATGCTCCGCATTAAGGCGAACGCACATGGGCGCCAGCCACACCGAAGTGAAGCAGACCGCAGTGCGAGTGCAACGGAGAAGTCGCCCTGTCGGCGCCAAGCTCCGAGCAGCTCTCCTAGCCGAAAGCGGGCAGGGAGAACCGAAGCGACAACGCTGAAGGCTGAACCACTCAGCGCGAAGTCCGTACCACCGCCGAACGCGGGGTCGGCTAAGACAGGGGCAGAGGAACGGCAGGGACCTACAGAGCACTCACTCCACTGACCGCACCGCTGCCCGGGGGGGGGCCGGTGTGTCAGTCATCGTTTCCGAAACCAGTGACAGGCCAGGAAGCAACGATGAAAGAGGACACGCAGGCCCAAGAGCCACTACACTGCCGCCTAGCAGGTATCGGCCGAAGGTTGCCGAGGTACGCTGCAGCCGCGACCAGCTCATAGGCGCTGGAGCGCAGTCAGGGCTGAATCTGACCACAGAGTGGGCAGGGGAACGGCAGGCACCTACAGAGCACTCACTCCACGGACCACACCGCTGCCCGGGGGGGGGCCGGTGTGTCGTTCATCGTTTCCGAAACCAGTGACTGGCCGGGGCTGCAACGATGAGAGAGGACACGCTGGCCCAAGGGCCTGTATACTGCAACCTCGCAGGTAACGGTTACGATTGTCGCCGAGATTCGCAGCTGCCGCGACCAGCTCATGGAGCGCTGGAACGCAGCCAGGGCTGAATCTGACCACGCAGTGGAGGGGGGGGTGCAGCCAACAGCCGCAATGAACACAAGTGTCGGTTGGAGGGGGGGGGTGCAGCCAACAGCCGCAATGTAACATGTCATGGAAGCAGCTCGCACAGAGCCGAGGACGAGGGAGGGGTTGTGTGGGCTGCACACAGACCGCCGCCAGCAGAGTGGTGCGCAGGGGGGGACTATTCCAGTCAACCGCCCCCGGCCAACCAAAGTGGCTGTCGAGAGAGAGACAGCAAAGGGTGTGGAGCGCGGGGACGCGTCTGCGGCCGTCCCCAGTCCCCAACAGAGCAGTCAGCCGCCGTAGAGGGCAGCTGTTGGCCTTGGGCCGGTGGGGCCTGCAGGCTCACCCCCACCTGCCGAGGGGGGGGGTGAGGTGGCCAGGCAAGGTCCACTTATCCAGTCTGGGCTGTCTAGCTATGCAGCGCCTTGGGTGAGATGTTGGGACACCCCCGCCCCAGCGGGGGTTGCCCAGGGTATTGCGGCCACGGCCGGGCGCTGCAAGGTGAAACCGTCCCCGGCGGGGGGAGGTCGGCGAGCGCCTGAGGGGGGGTCGCCGCCGCCGAGCTGGGGGAGCAGGGGGCACTCCGTCGGGCGGGCCCATGCTGGTGGGGATACGCGAAGCGTCTAGAATTTGGGGAAGGTCTCTTGAAAAACAGTATGGAAACAAGACCAAGCAACCGAGGGAAGTCTTTCAGCGAAAGTAGTAAGGAAGCAAGACTAAGCAACCCAGGGAAGGTCTCAGGGAAGGTCTTGATTAAAGCAGTAAGGAGACAAGACCAAGCAACCCCAGGGGAAGTTGGTCGGCCAGGCCTCTCGCCGACTGGTTCTTCACAAACAATCAAGAGCCCCTTAGGCAAAGCCTACCTGGGTAATGCGCAAGCGTTATGAAGGCATTCGTGGAAAACGTGAAGAAACCGTTGAAGTCCCCATGACATCTTGTGATATCGAAGACGCCTACTGCGAACCACCGCAAACCCCTGCCTTCGGGAGACGCCTGTGTGGCCAAACGTCGGGCCGAAGCCTGGCCGAGCTATTGAACTATGTTCCCCCCGCCGTTGTGGAGACCATTGGGGGGGGAAGCACTCCGCGGAGGAAGAGAGAGTACGAGGGGAAGGAGGAGGATGAGGAGAGCGAGGATAAGAATGAGAGGGAGATAAGTGGGGGGCCCTCTGAGAAATAGGTGCCTCCTGGGGCAGTTTGGAGGCCGCCTTGGAGGCTTCCTCATCACCACAATCACCATCATCAACATCACATCAGCATCAACATCAACATCATCATCCCCCATTATCATCGCAATCTGCGTAATCAGCGAAGTCGTCGTCGCCGGCGCAATCATCGTCATCACCACCATCACCACCACCACCATTATCATCATCATCACCATCATCATCATCATCATCATCATCATCATCATCATCATCATCATTATCATCATTATTATCATTATGATAATCATCACCGTTATCATCGTCATTACCACCATCATCATCATCAGCAGCATCATCATCGTCATCGTCACCGTCATCGTCATCAGTCGTCATCCTCCTCACCTTCAGCGTTCGCCGTCCGTTATTCATCGTCCGTCCATCGTCTGTCACCAGACCCCAAATGCCATGATCTCTTCCTCGCGTCGACCACCTAGGGTCTCGACCCATCCCGGGACCGGCTTTCCATGCCGAGTCCTTGTTGGCGGTCCCGAGGCCCGGTGAGGGCCCCTGGAGGCTGAAAATGGCATCACATGCAACAACAATTGCAACAACAACAGCAACAACAGCAACAACAGCAACAACAACATCACCAGCAGCAACAACAACAGCAACAGTAGCAGCAGCAACAACAGCAGCAGCAACAACAGCAACATCAGCAACAAACACTCCCGGCGCGATCTCTTCACTACGCGAGCGCATCCGGTTCCGTCGTCCGTCTGTCGTCCGCTCGCCGCTCGCCGTAGCTCGTCGCCCTCGTCCGCCCATCGGTGGGCCGCCGCCGCCGTCGTTCGCCGCCCGTCGGTCGTCCGTCGCTCGTCGTCGTCCGTCGTCCGCCCGCTCGCCGCTCGCCGCTCGTCGTCGTCGTCGTAGTTCGTCGTCGTCGTCGTCGCCGCTCGTCGTCGCCGCTCCTCGTCGCCGCTCCTCGTCGTCGCCGCTCGTCGTCGCCGTCGTCGTCGCCGCCGCCGCCGCCGCGGCCGCGCCCCGCGCGCCCCGTGCGCGCCCCGCGCGTGCCCCTCCGCCCCAGCGCCCGGGCCCAGCAGCTCGGCGCCCCGGCGGGCGGGGGGCGGCGGCTGGGGCTCCCGAGGAGCGCGCGCCGCTCCGCCCCTCGCGGCGGGCCGGCGTCCCGAGGAGGGCGGCGAGGACGACGGCGTCGCGGGGCCCTGGCCTTTTGAGTCGGGCAGGCCCCTCGGCAGGAGGAGTGTTCCAAAACAGTCCAAATGTAGTCTGGGGACGAGCTGTCTAGTATTTCGCTGGTCGTTCTTGATTATGTTCTGACTGTTCTTAAATTGTTTCGTCCAAGCTCCGCCTGTGGGGGGGCATGCCCGACCCAACCCTGGCCCCCCGGGGCCACGAAGAAGGCCTGGTGGGAGGCCTTTCCCCGTGTGCTCGGCCTCCTTGGGGCCTCGCTGGGCCCCGGGACCGCCAAAAGATTCTCTGCTCCGGGTGAGCTTATTAGCTTTTCCCGGCAAGCGCGAGTTCGAAGTTCGAGTTTGTGCTAGAACTCGAACTGTTTCTGCTGGAAAGCGAGAGCTCGAAGTTCGAGTTCAAAGACTGGTCTCGGGGAGTGGGTCGAGACCTCGAGTAGGAGATCGTCTACATTCGGGCGAAGAGAATTCACTTATGCACACGCACCGATCTTGGCCAGGCCCATCCTGGGCCCAGGACCGGTGCATGTGTCTTCCTGCCCAAGGCAGGATGGCGTATGCACCGGTCTTGGGCTCAGGATGGGCTTGGCCAGAGTCGGTGTATGTGCATAGTTCTCTGTCCCCTATACAAAATCGATTTACCTCGAACTTGATTTTCCGTCGATGCTACCAAACATACGTAGACTGTCCCGTTGGCCTACAGTGCATTCTACGTGTGTCTCGTTGATTCGGCGGGAGTCATCCAGTTTGGGGCAACTCGATTCTGCAGCCGATCCCCTACTCGACGACCTCTGGGCGTCGACGCCATGAAACAATCATATGACCTCGGGGGTCTGGGGACGGCGCCGGAGGGCGCCGACGGCCCTGCCCCCAGAGGTCTGGGCGCTGCGGTTTGCTCACCCTGGGCGTTTCTGCTCCCAGCTTCGGGCCCGGCACCCTCGCGGATCGAGCCTGCTCGAGGAGGCGCGCTGCTGCATGTCTTCGCAGCGTCGGATCACAGGGTCCCAAAGATTATTGTGTATATTGCCCATGTGTAGCATATGCATAAACAATGTCCATCGATGTGTATATATATACATATATACATATACACATGCATAAACGTACATGGCATGGGTATACAGACATATACATACATATTATATGTAAACACACATCTACAGCTACATACATACATGCATACAAACATACATACAGACAGACAGACAGACATACCTACATACATATATACATATATACAAGCATGCATCCATACATACATACACACACATATATACATACATGCATACATACATACAGACATACATACATACATACATACATGCATGCATACATACATACACACATACATATATGCATGCATGCATACATACATACATACGTGCATACATACATGCGTGCATACATACATACATACATGCATACGCATACATCCACAGTTGCATACACACATACATACTTACGTGCATGCATACACATATATATATATGTTCATACATACATGCATACATACATGCATACATACACACATACATACACTCATACATACACGCATGCATGCAGACATACATACATACGTACATGCATACATACATACATGCATGCATACATACATACATGCATGCATACATACATACATGCATGTATACATGTATACATACATACATACCTACCTACCTACCTACCTACCTACCTACCTACCTACCTACATATATACATACATACATACATACATACATACATCCATCCATCCATCCATCCATCCATCCATCCATACATACATACATACATACATACATACATATACATTCCAACTGCCGCACGCTCGGGCATGCGTTTTTACATGTTCGGCATGTGGAGGAGGCCTCCCAGCCCCGGGACCCGCAGGCTGGAAGGCCAGTCCCAGGCAAGAGAGATCGAGATCCCCAGAGTGGGCCCAGGGAGAAAATTCGGGAGCCTTGGGACGAGGGTCAATGCAAACGGGGGTCAGCCAGAGCGCCCGATCTTGCAGGATCCTGCAGGGCCAGGGTCGCATTGACCCGGGCTTGGGTGCAGGATCCTGCAGGGACTTGCAGGATCTTTCGCATGGACCCCGGCTTGGGCGCAGGATTTTGCAGGATCTCGTAGGGTTCTGCAAGGCCTGACTGACCCGGGTCTGGATTGACCCGGGTCAGAAGATCCCCGCAAAACGCGCCGTCGGAGGGGAGGGCCGTTTCGGAGGTTTTGGGGCGTGCGCTGGCGGGGCGCGGCCAGAAGACTTGCCCGGAGTGGGCCCGGGGCGGGGGGTCCCGTCCGAGGAGGGCTGGGCACCGCTACCGGTAGACCCCTCCCGCTGCTTTTCCTGCTGAAGCCTCCCGGGAGGCCCCGGCCGCAACGGCCAGAACCGCCGCCAAGTTCTGGCCAGAACGCACCACGGAAGAGGTCCTGGGAGCAGTGGCTGTATCGGTATGTCGCAGGCCTATAGAGGTTGACACCAGCACCAGTTTCGGCGGTGTGCCTCCATCGAGGGAAAAAAGAAGATCCCGATCTCGGTGATGGCGGTAAGATTGTGGCTTCCGAGGTGGCCGAACTAGCACCACCAGCACCGAAGTCTAGGACCCTCTTCCCCCTGTGGTGGCAGCCCCCTGCCCATTTCCAGGCCTCCCAGTCTGTCCGCTGGTCTTCCCAGTCCGACACCTGAGGTGTGACACCTGGCTTGAGCGGGCGGGGCGCGGCGGCGGCAAGACTCAGGAGAGAAAGAAACACACAGACACAATTAATCGTCGATTCCCCAGAAAATATGGGAAACTATGGGAAGTGGGGGGGAAGACAAAAGCCCAGAAAATATTGGAAAATATGGGGGATCTTTTTATTTGTGTGTATTTATTTGTGTGTCCTGGGGCCCCTTCACAGACGAGCGGCAAGGCCGGCAGCTCGGCGCAGGCAGCCCCAGGAAGGGGGTGCCAATGGCGGGCCTCGGCAGGCCACCCTGCGGGGAGAGCCCGGGGCGGTCGGAGCACGGAGGGCGGCGAAAACGAGCGGCGAGGTTCCCCACAGGCAGTGCTCGCTCTGGACCCAGACATGATGGCGTCGTAAAAAATTCAGGACGGGAGGTTTTTCGCTATTTTCGGCCCCTGGGGGCCCTCGCCGGGCCTCGGGACCGTCAAAAAACGACTCAGGACGGAAAACTGGCCCCAGGGAAAGGGTCTAGATTTCCAGGGGCGCCGTCCTGAAAAAATCAGGACGTCGCATGTCTGGGGAGGGGTCCTCCTGGCGGAAGTGGGAAGATTTGGCGAAAGTTTCCCGCCGCTTCTGGCAGCATGGCTGGGTTCCCGGGTTCCCGGTCCCGGGGTCCCTGGTTCCCGGTGATTGGTTCCGGGCCGAGTTCGGTGGCCACCGAAATCGCCCCCGGAACCCAGAACCCGGGTTCTGGGTTCCCGGGCTCCCAGGTTCCCGGTCGATCTCCTCAGCGAAAACCATCCCTTGAGTGGGGTTGTTCCCTGGTGACTTTTTGTTCAGGTTGCGCACAGACGCAGACATCCAACGGCTCGGACACATCGGGGCGGCAGGGTCGTTGTGCCATGCTGGCCCGTGGAGGCCAGCTGCGGGCCCCAGCGCAAGATCGGCAGAAATGCAGCTCGCAGTGAGAAGTCCTCCCCGGGGAAGGGGTCGAGAGGTTTGGGGGGAGGGGGGGGGGTCCTCCTCCTCCTCCTCCTCCTGCTGCTCCTCCTCCTCCTCCTCCTCCTCCTCCTCCTCTCCTCCTCCTCCTCCTCCTCCTCCTCCTCCTCCTCCTCCTCCTCCTCCCTCGCCCCCCTCCCTCCTTCTCCTCCCGCTCGCCCCTCGCAGCCTGACATCGCCACGTCCGCGCCAGGCTCGGACGCTTCGGCCGGCGGCCCCTCGCCTCCCTCGCCTGCAGGAGCTCCCGCCGCGGGCGGCTCCGGCGACCTGAGCCGCATCGCGCAGCTGGAGGCCATGGGCTTCTCCGGCGAGGTGGCCCGGAAGGCGCCGGCCGCCCCCCCGACCTTGAGATGATCTAGGCCTCCCTCAGAGCCCCGAATCATCAGGGGTAACTCGGGTCAGGGCTAACTCGGGTTGGTTTTTCGGGAACCCAAACCCGAGTTACCCCGGACCCGAGTTACCCCGGATAACTCGGGCGTCCAGAGCCCCGAATCATCAGGGGTAACTCGGGTCAGGGATAACTCGGGTTCGTTTTTCGGGAACCCAAACCCGAGTTACCCCGGACCCGAGTTACCCCGGATAACTCGGGCGTCCAGAGCCCCGAATCATCAGGGGTAACTCGGGTCAGGGCTAACTCGGGTTCGTTTTTCGGGAACCCAAACCAGAGTTACCACGGACCCGAGTTACCCCAGATAACTCGGGCGTCCAACTCCCAGGTGGGGTCCATGGGGTCGGTGAATCGCCGATGCATCGCCGATGCGGCTCGCTGTGCAGCCCGATTTGCTTCACGCCGACGTCGCCGATGCATCGCCGACGTCGACGATGCATCGCCGGCGCATCGCGGATGCATCGCTGATGCATCGCCGGTGTATCGCCGATGTATCGGCGATGCGACGCGACACTCCGACCCCATCGACCCCATCGAGGAGGCCTCTAGATGATACATGAGTTTCCAGGAGGGCTAAGAAATAGCACCAGGACCTCGACATCGGAATGTCCGTCGAGGTTTTATGGGCAGTCCAGATAGGTCTATAGGTCTGGAGCGCTATGTTTTAGCACTCTGGAAGGTAGGGGCTGGCGCTGCTGTTTGTTCGATACGTGCGCTTTTTCGCCCGGCTTTGGGCCCTGGCCGGCCTCACAGATCGATCCTGCTCCGCAAGCGGCGCAGAAGGATGGGGTCGAGGGTTCCAGTCGTGATTACAATCGGGGCGTCGAACAAGGAAACCTTTTTCGTTGGGGAGGGGCTCGGTGTTCCTTGATTGTTGTACATTTGCCTTGGGTTTTCCTCAGGTTTCCCATGGGAAATCGCAGTTTAATTCATGGGAAAAAAAGGGCCTCGTTCCTGATTTAGGGTTCCTGAGGTCGACGGCCCGACTGCATTCGCAATGACACCTTTTGTTCCTCGTGCGATGGTCGTTCTTGTCTCAAGTGCACGTGTGGTCTGCGCTCCCTGCCCTGAGCCGTCTCGGGAGCTCCCTCGCCCCCGCGGCGGCCCTCGCGGCGCAGCGGCCCTGTCGCCCTTGCTGGGCGGCGCTGCCGGCTAAGTGGCGGCCCTGCTCGTGGCGACGGCCGCGGTGCCCTCGCGCTGCGGGGGCGTCGCCGGGCTGGTCCCTCGCCCCGGCGGCGGCCCTCGCGGCGCAGTAGCCATGCCGCCCTCGTTGGGCGGAGCTGCCGGCAGTGGCGGCCCCGCTCGTGGCGACGGCCGCGGTGTCCTCGTGCTGCGGGGGCGTGGCCGGGCTGGGGCTCGGCGTGGCCCTCCACCCGCACGGCGCCGTGACGGTCGCCAGGCCGGTCGCGATGGTTCGCAGGGTGGCATTGTCTGCAGCGGCAGATCTGCGGGGAGGTCTGGAGGGGATGGTGGCAACGGTTCGGGTTCGCGCACGGGCAGCCGGGGCGGTCTCAACGCCCTGGCGCCGCCTCTGGCGGCGCCACTGGAGCGCTCCGCGCCCCAGGGCTGGGGGTATTTGAGCCGTCCCCTGGCTGCAATCCCGTTTTTGGCCATTTTCGGCCTCGGAGGGCCCTCGCCGGGCCTCGGGACCGTCAAAAAAAGACTCAGGATGAAAAACCGGTCCCAGGGAAAGGGTCGGAATTTCCACGGACCCCGTCTTGAAAAAATCCGGACGTCGCATGTGTGGATCAGGGGAGAACATTCAATGTGAGTCTTGCTGGAGGGCCGGCGTGAGCAGGCATTGCATGCGTTAGTTGCGTCTGCGCGCTTTTCGGCGTATACGACTTGGAGCGAGTGAGTGAAGTGAGTCAAGCCCAGCCGGGGCTGCCTGGGGGTCGGAGCCGTGCGCAGCCCGAGGCCTTACCAGGTGGTGCGGCCCCCGGGCCCGCGCCTTGCGCACCAAGAGTGGGGCGGCTCCAAGGGAATGGGGTGCTGAGGCCGTCTCGGGCTACGGTCAACCCTGAAGTAAGGATGATCGACTTCCCCAAGAGTGCCCTTGCATTCTTGCCGCGTCGGTAATCTTCGGCCAATCCTCACTAATTTCGATGGCCAGCCCCGCTCGAAGAGCCTCGGCATGGGCGCCCAAGGCCCCTGCAACCCTACCGCTCATCCTGACTGTATGGGTTCACGGTCCTCGGGAGGAGGAGGAGGAGGAGGAGGAGGAGGAGGAGGAGGAGGAGGAGGAGGAGGAATGATGATGATGATGATGAGGAGGAGGAGGAGAGGAGGAGGGGAGGAGGAATGCAGGCGGAGGAGGAGGAAGAGGAAAAGGAGAAGGAGGAGGAGGCGAGAGGAGGAGGCGGAGGAGGAGGAGGAGTGGAGGAGGAGGAGGAGGAGGGAGGAGGAGGAGGAGGAGGAGGAGGAGGAGGTGAGGAGGAGGAGGAGGAGGAGGAGGAGGAAGGAGGAGGAGAGGAGGAGGAAGGAGAACGGGAGGAAGGAAACGGAGGCGGAGAAGGAGGAAAAAGGAAAAAGGAGGGAGGAGGAGGAGAGGAGGAGGAGGAGAGGAGGAGGCGAGGAGAGGGGAGGAGGGAGGAGGAGGAGGAAGGAGGAGGAGGTGAGAGGAGGAGGAGGTGGAGATGCGGAGGAGGAGGAGGAGGAGGAGGAAGGAGGAGGAGGTGGAGAGGAGGAGGGGAGGAATTGAGGAGGAGGAGGAGGGACGGGAGTGAGGAGGAAGAGGAGGAGGAGGAGGAGGAGGAGAGGAGGAGGAGGGAGGCGGCGGCGGCGGCGGCGGAGGAGTAGATGGGGCGGAGGAGGAGGGCGTATTAGGAGGATGAGGAGGGGGAGGAGGAGAGGAGGAGGAGGATGCGGAGGAGGAGGAGGAGGAGGAGGAGGAGGAGGAGGAGGAGGAGGAGGAGGAGGGAGGAGGAGGGAGGAGGGAGGAGGAGGAGGAGGGAGGAGGGAGGAGGAGGAGGAGGGAGGAGGGAGGAGGGAGGAGGGAGGAGGAGAGGAGGGTAGGGGAGAGGGAGGAGGGAGGAGGGAGAAGGAAGAAGGGAGAAGGGAGGAGGAAGAGAGAGAGAAGGGAGGAGGAGGAAGAGGAGGAGGAGGAGGAGAGGAGAGGAGGAGGAGGAGGAGGAGGAGGAGGAGGAGGAGGAGGAGGAGGGGAGGAGGAGGAGGAGGGAGGAGGGAACGTGGAGGGAGGAGGAGGAAGAGGAGGAAGGAGGAGGAGGGACGAGGAAGAGGAGTGGAGGGAGGGAGGGAGGGAGGGAGGGAGGGAGCGAGGGAGGGAGGGAGGGAGGGAGGGAGGGAGGAGGAGGAGGAGGAGGACGGAGGAGGAGCAGGAGGAGGAGGAGGCCAGTCGGGGCTGCCTGGGGGCGGAGCCGTTCGCAGCCCGAGGCCTTGCCAGGTGGCGCGGCCCCTGGGCCCGCGCCCTGCGCAACCGGGAGGGACGGGGGGTTCGGCTCGAGGGGGGGCCTCTGCGAGAGGGCTGGGAGCTGCTCGGAGGGCCGTCGCCGTCTCAGGAGCGAGAGAGGGACATACAGCGTACGTACAAGAATCCACGTTGGCTTCGAGAGAACAGTGGAGGCCCAGGCCAAGAAACACCCTGCTTGCCTCCAGGGTGCCCTGGGTTTCTCAGGTGTCGATGGTTTTGCTATGGAGAGCGGGACGTTCGCACACCGAAAGTCGACGGACGCCCTGGGGTCTCAGGGTTGGGGTGCTTGTGGAAGATGTCTTGTGGATTGGCCTCCAGTGCACACGTAATGAATCCACGTTGGTTTCAAGCGTACACCTTTGCGCGAACGCTGGTATCACGCGGCCAGTCTCTTGGACTGGGGGGCCGTGTCCATGCACGTGGTTGGGCGCGCGCACGTCTTTTGTGGGCTCCCTAGCCTTCGTGAGGAAGCCTTTTCCGGCTTCCGAGGGGCCCTCTTGGGAGCCTCCGTGTCACTCCAAGGTGGCGCTTGTCTTCTCAAGGACCCCATGGCCTTCCTAGAAGGCAATCACCCTCGCCTCTGGCCTTTTTGGAAGCTCTCCCCGCCTCCAAGGGGCCTTCTTAGAAGCCTCTGGGACCTTGTATCAGGAGCACAGTAGTCGGAGCACGAGGATGGGGTTGGGAGACATGACCTGATCATCCGTATTATCACGTATATTGAAGGTGTTTCTAGCACCGTAGTGCCACCCATTCCCCCCCAACGCGATAATTGTCTTTCTCGCTCTAAGGAGGCTCCTGGCCTCTAAGAAGCCCCTGGCCTTCCTAGAAGGCTACCCCTGGCGTCACCTCCTCCTGCGCGCCGCCAACACGGGTGCGCCTTAACCCCGTCAGTGGGCCCGTCCGTCTCTTTGGTGGCACCACCCTGGAAAGCACGGCGGTCGCAAGCAGCCCATCGCCGTTGACACTGAAGGTCGGGGCAACCACTGGGCAAAATGAGCGCGAGCGCTCTGGACATCCCAGTGACGCTGCTGGCTACATCTTAAGGGGCACTACTGTTTCGACTTCGTGCCCAATGGGGCCCTCTCGGCTCCCGAAGAAACCAGGATGGAGGCCAGACCCTGTGCTGTTCGGGAGCTTGTCTGTAAGGTTTCGGCCCCTCCCTGTGGGCCCGTGGAGGATTCCGGGCACCGGTGGTGGTCGAAACTCGAGGGGGAGAAGGATGGCGATGGAAGCTCTAGGTCCCTAGGGCGCCGCTGGCTTCTCTTGAGCCTCCTGGGGGAAGGAGGGGGGAGGAGGGGAACGAAAAATTACATAAACATAAAAACTCTGAGGTCCGCGCGGATTTTCCGGATCCGCGCTGGACCCCCCTCCCTGGCGCGCTCTGCGCGCCATGGGCAACGCCGGAGGCGCCGCCAGGGGGCCCCAGCGCCGATCCGAGAAATCCGCGCGGACCTCGAGTTGTTATGTTTGTGCCACGTTCGTCTCCCCTAGGGAGGCTCGTCGCCGCGACGTCTCTGGGGCGCAGTTGGCTCTCTTGGGCCTGCTAGGGGGAGGGGGGGGGGGGAGGAGGAGGAGGAGGAGGAGGAGGAGGGAGGAGGAGGAGGAGGAGGAGGGGAGGAGGAGAGAGGAGGAGGAGGAGGAGGAGGAGGAGGAGGAGACGAGGCAGGATCGAGGTTCGAAAGGAGGATGAGAAGGAGGAGGAGGGGAGAGGGAGAAGGAGGCGGAGAGGCGGAGGAGAAGGAGGAGGAGGGGTGAGGAGAGGGGAGGAGGAGAGGAGGAGGAGGGAGGAGGGGAGGAGGAGGAGGGGAGAGGAGGAGGAGCGAGGAGGAGTGGAGGGGGAGGAGGAGGAGGAGGAGGAGGAGGAGGAGGAGGAGGAGGGGAGGAGGAGGAGGGGAGGAGGAGGAGGAGGAGGAGGGAGGATGGAGAGGAGGAGGAGGAGGAGGAGGAGGAGGAGGGAGGAGGATGGAGGATGGAGGGGAGGAGGAGGAGGGAGGAGGAGGAGGAGGAGAGGAGGAGGAGGAGAGAGGAGGAGGAGGAGGAGGAGGAGGAGGAGGAGGGAGGAGGGGAGGAGGAGGAGGCGGAGGGGGAGGAGGAGGAGGAGGAGGAGGAGATGGAGGAGGAGGAGGAGGAGGAGCGTCGCGGCACCGCGGCTGGATCCGCGTCGGAGCTGTGGTCGGAGCGCGCTTTCCGACGTGTCCAGGGCGGGTCTACCTTGAAGTCGGGCGTGTCCCTCTACGGGAGGAATTTTCAAACATAGTCAGGGGGCGAGTTTCCTATTATTGTTGACTAGTATTGTTTTGCATGTTCCGTTTTGTGGCTTTCGTCCACAATCCGCCTGTAGGAGGACACGCCCGACCTAAGTCCAGGGCGGGTTTACCCGTCAGAAATCCGAAAGGCAGCTCTTTTTCATGGACTCCAGACTTCGCCCACGAGAATCAAGAGTCCGCACTTGGCCCTGCGCGTTTTCTCGGGGCGTCTCTTCTTCGCAGAGCTGTTCGTATCTTCGTATCTGTGGACCCAGGCTGCTGTTTGCGAGAACGCTTGGAGTGAAGTGAAGTCCACTTCCTTGGCGTAAGCTTGTCCTTGTGCTGCGCAGGGGTGTAGGCCGAGGGCGGCAGAAAGGTGACGCGGCCAGCCTGCGAGTTGGATGCACACGTGGCCGCGCGTCTCTCCAGCGCTCGGCCCTTCCGGGGCCAGGAGCGCGCGCCCGGCTGCCGCGCGTGAACTATCCGGCGCGTGGCCGCCGCACGCGTCGCGTGTGAATCCAGCCGTGCGTGCTCGCAGCATGCTTGTTTGTGCACGCCCTCCCTTCTCCTTCTTTCTTCGAGTGGGAGGAGGGGAGGAGGGGAGGAGGAGGAGGAGGAGGAGGAGGAGGAGGAAGAAGAAGAAGAAGAAGAGGAAAAGGATGAGGAGGAGGAAGAGGAGGAGGAAGAGGAGGAGGAGGAGGAGGAGGGCGGCTAGACTGAGGAGGATTCTGATCTTCGAGGAGAAGAAGGAGGGAGCGAGGGAGGGAGGGAGGAGGTCGAGGAGGAGGAGGAGGAGGACGAGAAGGATCAAAAAGATCAGGAGGAGGAGGAGGAGGAGGAGGAGGAGGAGGAGGAAGAGGACTTTGATCTCCCAGGAGGATGAGGAGGAGAAGGAGAAGGGGGGAAGGCTGAGGAGGAGGAGGAGGAAAGGATCAAAAAGGAGGAAGGGGGGAGGATGGAGGAGGTGGAGGAGGAGGAGCACGAGCAGGCGAAAGAGGAGGAAAGGACTCCTCCTCCCCTCTGGGATCCAGCTGGCTGCGGCTCGACCCCCGAAGCCTCCAGCGGAGCTGTCCCGAGGAGGGCTCCCTCGCCGAGCCGCCCTCCCGCTCGCCCTATGAAGAGGATCGAGGAGCTCCTCCTCCACCCCCCCTCCCCCCCCTCCTCATCCTGTTCCTCCTCCTCCACCTCCCTGCCTCCCTCCCTGGTCCTCCCTCCTCCTTCATCCGTCCCTCTCGCCCTCCCGCCTCCTCCTTTGTACGTTGCGCCGACACTGACCAGGTGATCGTTGCGTCTGTCCCCCTCCTCCTCCATTCCTTTTCTTCGTGAATAATTCCTCCTCGTCGCACCCCGAGACCAGTCGGAAGGGCGGGCTGGGCGTTTCGCTTGAGACTTGTTCACCACTTGTGATGCTGAAGATGAAAGTTCTCAACAGCTTCACGGATGGAGGACGGGTGGTTCTCAACGTGAGGTTCTCGCTTATGCGCTGCCCACATCCGTTTCAAAAGCTTGCAAGAGGTTCACGAATGGAAGGCGGTGCGTTTTCAACATGTGGCTCTCGCCTCAGAACCGCGCACATCGGTCGTCCAAGTTTGCAAGAGCTTCACGGATTTAGAACAGGTAGTGTTCAACATGTGGCCCTCGCCTTAGCGCCTCGCACATCCGTCTTAAACATTTGCAGGTGCTTCACGGATGGAGGGCGGCTCCCTTGCAGAATGTAGTTCCCGTGTCAGCGACGCGCACATTCGTGTTGAGAGCTCACAACAGTTTTAAGTGTTCCCGCGGTTAAACATGATGTCGGATTGCCAGGGCGTAGCAGATACATTGATTCGTGGTGCTGAAGTCCCAGGAATATTGTTCTGGTACGACTCAGGATCTTCAAGACGCAACGGTACTGGTGATTCGCGACGTTGAAGTCCCATGAATAGCGTCTTGGGAGAGTTCATCATTTAGTTTCTAACGGTGCACTTCTTCTATTGCAATGAATCCCGATAGGAGCCTGTCACGAAGGAGCTTGGAGGGAGGGCAGATTGCAATACCGCTGATGTGTCTTGGGTTTGCACTGGTCCTCCCCCCCCTCCTCGAGGCAGTTTTCGACTGCTTCAACCGTTTTTGGTCCTCTGGAGGTCTCCAGGCCCCAGGGACTTGGGAAGAAAGGATATCCTGGTTTCCCCATCCACCTCGTTCTCCTCCTTCTCCACCTCCTCCTCCTCCTCCTTCTCTTCCCGCTCCTCCTCCTCCTCCTCCTCCTGCTCCTCCTCCACCTCCTCCTCCCTCCTCCCCTCTCCCTCTCCCTCCTCCTCCTCCTCCTCTCTCCCTCCTCCTCCTCCTCCTCCTCCTCCTCCTCCTCCTCCTCCCTCCCTCCCCTCTCCCTCCCTGCTCTTCTCCTCATCCTCCTCCTCCTCCTCCTCCTCCTTCCTCCCCTCTCCCTCCCTGCTCTTCCTCCTCCTCCCTTCCTCCTCCTCGTCCTGTTTTCCCTTTCCCCCCTTCTGTCATGGGGGCCAGCGGTGGGGGGGCGGGATCCGGGCGGGCCCGTCCGGCTTGCCGCGGGAGGTGCTGGCGGAGTGCGCTTGGGACGTGAACGCGGCGATCGACCGCCTGCTCTTGTCCGGCGCCGAGATGTCTAGCGAGCCTGCAGGCCTTGACCTCCGCCCCTCCGACGACGACCGCGACGGCAACAACAACGACGACGACGACGACGACGACGACGACGACGACGACGACGATGGCGATGGCGGCGGCGGCGGCGGCGACGGCCTGCGGCTGCCCTTCGGCGCGGAGCCACGGCTCGGTGCGCCCCGTCCTCCTCTCGCGTCCCCCCGCCCTCTGCCCTGCACCCCGCCCCCGTCCGCCCGCTGCAGTGGTTGAGAACGTCTCGTCCTCCTCTCGCGTCCCCTTGCCCTCCTCCCTGCTTCCTCCCCTCTCCGCCCACTGCAGTGGCTGAGAACGTCTCTCCCTCCTCTCGCGTACCCCCGCTCTCCTCCCTGCTTCCTCCCCCCTCTGGTCTGCAGGCGGTTTCGTGTCCTGCAGACCCCCGGCAGTGCCACCCCTGGCGGACTTTCGGAGACATCCGAGTTCCGAATTCCGAGAGTTCCTCCCTCCTCCGCCCGCTGCAGTGGTTGAGAACGTCTCGTCCTCATCTCGCGTCCCCTTGCCCTCCTCCCTCCTCCGCCCGCTGCATGCAGTGGTTGAGACCGTCCGGACAGTATAGCTCATTACCTCATCGACCACCCTTCGGGCGATCAGGATGTTGGGGGCGGCATCATACCTGTGATCGGCAATGCACACAACAATCAACTCGAGAGCGGGCACGCTCTAGGACAGGAAGGTTGTTTGTTTTCGGGACAGCCATCGGCGAGAGAACCAAGGTGACACTCGTTGGAACAATCGTCGGGACAACCATACATCAACTATCCATCGTGCTCGCGATCTATCGATCTTACCTTCTATCAGCCACTACGCTTCATATGTGTCCATGTGATTACACATATCTGTACGTATATATGCATACGTCTAGACATTGTTGTTTTCCACCCCTGTAGGTTGAGCGGGCGGTCTCCCCATCCGACTGTCGACATAGCATTCAGCGGGACAATCATCGGGACGACCGTTCCCGTTTAAAAGGCGCATGGATACTCATCGTGACAACCGTCTTTGTCGAGCAACCTCTATCGGTCTCTTGACCAATCTACCGATATCATCATATATAGGGACACCCGTCGAAACGACCAACAGACGAACTTTCGGCACAACCATCGGGAGGACAATCGATCACCTAAGGACGCGTCAGAATACATCACTGTGGAAGCCTTGGTGTCCCTCAGGTTCTACCAACTTGTCATTCCTTGTTCATTCGGTTACACTGGTTGAGCATAGGCGCTATTGCGGTTCGTTGGTTGTCACTGCTTACTATCGCTGTTTCATTCATGGTTGCGGGATTGTTGGTTTGTTCCGCAGGGCGCATGTTTGTTGTTGGCCCGCATGGCAGATTGCTTGTATGTTAAGCCCCGCAGGGCGCATTTCTTATCATGTCGCCCCGCAGGACGCATTCCTTCTGCATTATGACCTCGCAGAGCGCACTTCTGGTAGTATGACCGCGCAGAGCACGTGTGTTTAATGGAATGGCCTCGAAGAGCGCAACTGTTTCTGGTATCAAGGACTTTCTCAGCTATATGAACAAACGTTGGGACAACCATTGGCCTCTGATTAAAAATGCTGTTGCCGCCCAGGCGCCAGCGAACTTCTAGTTCCTCTTGTGCAAGCACTGCTCGTACAGACATTTTGAGTTCACACATGCACTCTCTTCTTTCCAGCGAAAGTTTTCTGACCTGGCCGACCGCTTCGACCAACGTCGGCGTAACGTACCAACGGAGGAGGAAGGAGGGAAGGAGGGAGGGAGGGAGGAACGAGGAGGACGAGGAGGAGAAAGAAGAGGAGGAGGATGAGGAGGAGGACTCTGATATCCGAGGGGAGGGAAGGGAGGGAGGAGGAGAGGGAGGAGGAGAGGAGGGGAGGGAGGATGGGAGGGAGAAGGGGAAGAGTGGCGGAGGGAGGAGTGGAGGAGGGAGGGGAGAGGGAGGAGGGGAGGAGGGAGGAGAGGAGGGGGAGGAGGGGCGGAGGGAAGAACAGGGAGGAGGGAGAAGGGGAGCCCAGACTCCCAACGTCGCGTTTTGATCGCCACGTCGACCCCCAGAGGCAGAGGTCTGGACCCCTTCCCCGAGACCAGTTTTTCATCCCGAGTCGTTTTTTGACGGTTTGGAGGCCCAGTAGGGCCCCCTGGGAGGCCGAAAGCGAAGAACAAGAATCCAGTCGTGATTTTGTCACGGCGCAAAGGGGTCTGGGATCGTATCTGATTTTGCATGGCGAAGATTCCCGAGGAGGAGGGAGAAGGGAGGATGGGGGGGAAGGAGGGGAGGAGGGAGGGAGGAGGGGAGGAGGGAGGAGAGGGGGCGGAGGGAGGAGGGGAGGAGGGAGGAGCGGAGACAGGAGCGCCGATGCCGGCGACGACCACCCGCGACGACAGCCCGGAGAGCCCCCGCCCACCCCCCCCAACAGGCGCAGGCGCCCCGCCCGACGAGGCGCCAGCGCCCGTGCCGGCTGCCGCCGAGGAGCGCGCGCCGGTGGCGGAGGCCTCGAGACGGCCTCGTCGTCGGCGGCGTCGTCGGCGCGTCGTCGGCGGCGTCGTCGGCGCGTCGTCGGCGGCGTCGTCGTCGTAGGCGCAGTCGTCGTCGTCGTCGTCGTCGTCGTCGGCGGCGTCGTCGTCGTCATCTCCCCGCTGCAGGGGCGGCGTGGGCGCGGCGCGCCTCGTCGGCGCCGTCGGCGCCGTCGTCGGCGGCCGTGCGGGCGGCACCCGTCGGCCTGAGGCGTCCAGAGCCATGCAAAGTCCGATGCGGTTCCAGGCCCCCTCGCGTTGCGAGAAGAGCCGCGACGACGAGCGGTGCTGCGCTATTGGCGGCCTCCGGGGGGCCCCTACCTGGCCTCGGGGCCGTCAAGAATCGACGCAGGACGAAAAGCCGGTCCCGGGGGAAGAGGCCAGACCTTTGGGGGTCGAAGGTGCGAAAAAAAGAAAAAAAAAAAAAAACATGACGTCGGAGGTCTGGGGATCGTCGGCGTCGGCGCCGTCCGTCGTCGGCGGCCGTGTCGTGTCGGCGGCACCCGGCGGCCCCAGACTCCCAAAGCCATGCAAAATCTGATGCGGAGGGTGTTCGCCGACGATGTCGGCCTCTGGCGTGTCTCGCCGTGGCGTGCGCTGGGATCACTACTCTCAGCCGCGCGCAGGCAGACGGGGGTGGGGGGAGGGGGGAGGGCTTCTTGGAAGCACCCTGCTTCTTAGAAAGCGCGGGCCTCGTCTGTAGATGTAAGGCCGGCGCCTTCTGAAAAGCAGCCTCCTTCTAAGAAGCCTGCCCCCCTCCCCCTACCCCTTTGTGCGCGCCGCCAATACTTTAGAATCCCTGGGAACCGAATCCCAGTGTTTTAAAAAAGGTTTCCGTGTGCGCGCCGCCCAGATGTCCAAAAATACAACGCCTACAACACCTAGTGCAACCCCCATGGATTCTCAAGGATTTCCTCCCAGGAATCTGGTAATTTCTAGGATCCCATGAAATTCATGACAAAGGTATGTAGGTTCGTGTCGTGCCGACGCGGTGGCAACCCCGCCGCGGGCGTTCAACGCCGAACTCCGCCTTCGACCCACAGAATCGGTCGACGTTGAACGTCCTGACGTTTCGGAAATGGCCGATCGTTCAAGGTTGAACGATTCCCGCGGTGTCAGGAACCAACGTCGGGGTCGACACGACGCGAACCCCTGGCAAGGAGAGGAGGGTGTTCACCGAGTTCGGCCTCTGAGGGCCCTTGCCGGGCCCTGGGACCGTGAAGAAACGACCTGGGATAAAACATTGGCCCAGGGAAAAGGGTCGGGACTTCCGTGGACGGCGCATTGAAAATCATCAAGACATTGGATGTCTGGGTCCTCGACGCTCCGAGGCAGCGTCGGCGGCGGCGTCGCCGGCGGCGGAGGAGACGGAGGTGGCGGAGGTGGCGGAGGAGGAGGTGAAGGAGGCGGAGGTGAAGGAGGCGGAGGAGGAGAAGAAAGAAGAGGAGGAGGAGGAGCAGCAGCAGCAGCAGCAGCAGCAGCAGACGCGGGGCGACGAGCAGGGAGGATGAAAGAGGACAAACAAAGAGGGTGATGAGGGCCCTCCTCCTCCTGCTCCTCCTCTTTCTCCTCATCCCCCTCCTAATCTTGAACGTCCTTTCTGTTTCAGCCTCCTCAAGTCGGCAGCTCAGGTTGCCTGCTGCGGGGGGGAGGGGGGGGCACAGCATTGGTTCAGTGGTTGATCCCTCCCCCTCTCCTCCTCTCTCCTCCTCCTCCTCCTCCTCCTCCTCCTCCTCCTCCTCCTCCTCCTCCTAATCCTCCTCCTACTCCTACTCCTACTCCTACTCTTCCTCCCCCTCCTCCGCCTCCTCCTTCTCATAACCACCCATCCCGTCATCATTATCATCATCATCATCATCATCATCATCATCATCATCATCATCATCATCATCATCATCATCATCATCAGCAGCAGCAGCAGCAGCAGCAGCAGCATAATCGTCATCACCACCACCATCAGCATCATCATCACCATCGTCATCATCAGCAGCATCATCAGCAGCAGTATCACAAGCATCATCAGAATCATCATCGTCATCAGCATCACCACCATCATCGTCCTCATCGTCATCATCATCAGCAGCATCATCATCAGCATCATCATCGGCATCATCATCATGGTCATCATGGTCATCGTCATCGTCATCGGCATCGTCACGACTGCCATCATCATCGTCGCCAGTATCGTTGTCCTTTTCATCGTCATCGTCATCATCGGCCTGGCGAGTTTGTGTATGCTTGATTTGTGTTTTGCCCGCCCTGCTTCTCAGACGGGCGGAGCATACAAAATTTGCAATGGTGGGGAGGAGGAGGAGGAGGAGGAGGAGGAGGAGGAGGAGGAGGAGGAGGAGGAGGAGGAGGAGGAGGAGGAGGAGGAGAGGGAGGAGGAGGAGGAGGAGGAGGAGGAGCACCAGCAGCAGGTTCCTTCTCCTCCTCAACCCCTTCTCCTCCTCATCGTCATCCTTCCTTTTTCGTCCTCCTGATCATGCCCTCCTGCTCGTGGTCTGGCTTCTCCTCCTGCTGCTTCTCCCCGTACAGTAGGGACGTGAACTATGACTTGTGCTTGCCAGTGCATGCCCCGCGAGAATGTCTGCACGCCCGATGGATCCGCCGAGCCCTGGGGCACCCCACAGAAAACTCAGAGTCGACGGCGGATGTTCCCCATAGACGCCGTATCGTAAGACGGTGTGGTGTGTATGTGTCTACCGTGGAGAGTGGCATGGCACCGGTCGGTAACAACGTGATCGTATTATAGGTGTGCCAGTTGCGTTGTAGCTTCGCCTCGTCCTCGTCCTCCTCCTCCTCCCATTCCTCCTCCTCCTCCTCCTCCTCCTCCTCCTCCTCCTCCTCCTCCTCCTCCTGGTGACCAGGAGGCACCAGGAGGAGGTCTCGTACTCGTCCTCCTCCTGGTGACGTGGTGTCCTCCTCCGTCCTGTCGTCCTCCGCGACCAGGTCGCGCAGAAATGTAGAGGACGAAGTCTGGAGGAACGAGCAGGGAGCTGGGCCAGAAGGAAGCAAGTGCCTTGCAGCACGTTGTCGTAACGGAGCCCTCCTCCCCTCACCAGCTCCTCCCCTTCCGAATGTGCCCTTGCCCGTGCAGGCTGGTCAGCCTGCATGTGGGGTTAAAACTCGGTCTCACACCAGCAGGGCTCATAGAGTTCAGATGCATGCATGCGCAAGCAATCTTGTTGCAACTACCCACGGATATATCATAAAAAGACTCGTGGGAATGTGTGCGTTCTTGTTGATGAACAGCAGGACATCCAGGTAACAATCGCATACTTGATGATATCGATGCGCAACATGAGTGTTTGCGTGTGTGTGCAAAGCCTGACCGCGAAAGCTGTCGACACCTTAACCTCAAGGTCTATGTTGAACGTTGTGGCTAAGAGCTCTTGCATCGTTGCAACTGCTGTTCCTCCTTCTCCTTCACCTCCTGCATCCTCCTCGTCGTCTTCCATCTTCAGCCCACACTTTCCCATGTTGTCTCTTTTCCTTTTCCCCCTTCAGGAGGAGGAGGACGACGACGACGACGACGAAGCGGAGAAGGAGGAGGACGAGGAAGAGAAGGGCAGAAGAACCACGAAGATGGGACCAGACCACTCATGAGATGCGCTCTCGCCAAATTTTTTAAGGGAAGCCAGCCGTGGCGACGAAGGCGCTCCAGGAGGCCCAAAACGTCCAGAAGCCTCGTCGAATCTGTTCGCCGCGCCGCCGCCGCCGACGGCGACCCGTGGCGACGACGGCGACGCAGCTTCCAGAGGTCAGGAGGGGCCTTCGTTGGAGGGGTGGGCTCCTCTCGCGCTCTCCGAGGCGGGGGGGGGGGTATCACGATGCAGCGAGGAGGGACCGTGGCACCGGCCATGCTTCCAAGCTTGGCTGCTCAGTTGGCCCGATGCTCCCGTTTGGAAGCGCTGGGGGTCCGACGTGGCTCAGCATTTCAGGCGATCGCAAACATGGATCAAGGGGGCTTGGATTATTTAGCGACGAGCCCCGTTTCAGTGGGAAATCGCGGGTTCTCGCCGCCGAACGAGGTGGCCCCGGCCGCATTTTGGGGAGGGCACCTCCCCCGGTCCATGGGTTTGGCGACCGCGCGCCACATCCACGGATCGCGAATCCATGTGTGCGCGCCCGCGAGCCATGCTTCCGGCCAGCAAGTGGGCCCCCCTGGGCCTGCACGGCGCGACGACCTCTCTCTGGGATCCCAGCCAGTGCAGGCCCCCTGGCCGGCTCCCAAATCTGTGGGCAGAGCAGTGGCGCCCAAGGGCCCGAGCCCCACCCCACTGCCAGGCAGGTGCGAGGCGTCTCCTGGCTCGCCCATGGGCCCACCAAAGAGTCTTCCAAGAGCCTTTTCGTCGCTAGCGCGAAGAATATGATGGGAGCCTTTCTGGCTGAGACTGTCTTGTTTCAACGCATCGGGTTCGTGTTCTAAAAACACTGTTTTTGTTATTGGAGCATCTTTGGGGTTCTGAGAACATGTCGGGGTCGGCCTGTAGGAATGCCGGGACGGTCCGTCCCTGTTCGACGCAGGGCCCATTCAGATTCGATCGATCCCATACGGCGTCGAGTTCGCAGGGTTCGAGTCGATCCGACCTCGATGTCCCAGCGGTCCTCCGACGCGGCCCAGCGCTCGCGAGGCGCGGCTGTGCATCCTGGCGCAGCCGAGTCGGCCTCGGCCCCGTGTCGCCATCGCCGGATCCGACGCGCGCTCCGATCCGACCCGACTTCCCGATTCGGTGCCGACTGGTCTTGCCCCGCATCGACCGACAGTCATAACGGCGACGACGGAAGGCGGCGACGACGACGACGACGACGACGACGACGGAAGACGGAAGACGTTGACGGACGACGACGACGACGACGACGACGACGACGACGAAGACGCAGACGAAGACGAAGACCAAGACGACGACGACGGAAGACGAAGACCAAGACGACGACGACGGAAGACGATGACGGACGACGACGACGACGACGACGACGACGACGACGACGACGACGACGACGACGACGACGACGACGACGACGACGGCGGCGACGACGACGACGACGACGGAATCGCAGCACCACCCCACACCCACACGGGGAGGGGGGGGGCACTGGGCACCCCCCACCACCCCACGCCCAAAGGGGGGGAGGGGGGGGAGAAGCTGCACCACGCCGCGACCCATCGTGCTTGCGGGGGGGTGCCCGAAGGCCGCAGCAGGAGGGAGGGGCCCAGAGCCGTGGATCCCACAGCACGCATCTAGTGGCCCTCGGCCCGTCCCGCCACCGTGCCCTGGTTGTGAGTAGGTCCGAGGCCCGTGGGGTGCCCGTGGGGATCTCCCGGGAGGCCTCCTGGGAGGCCTCTGGCTCGGCTTCGGTCTTGGGGTGTCTCGGGGGCCTCCCGGGAGTCTCCAGGTGGTCCCTTGGGGCCTGCTTTGGGCTTCTTGGAGGCCTCGGGGAGGAAGTGTGGGGCCTCTTGGAGACCTGGCGGTCTCGGGGGCCATTCGTGGGCGAGGGAATCGAAATGTCGGTTCGTGTTCCCCCTCTGGGGCCTCTCTTGGGCCCTGTCTTGGGGCCTTCTTGGGCCGTCTTGGAGGCCGCTTGGGCCGGCTTGGGGACATCTTGGGCCGTCTGAGGGCGCTCTTGAGGGCCTCTTGGGTCGTCTTGGGCGATCTTGGGGGCCTCTTGGGCCGTCTTGGAGCGTCGAAAGCCAGAAAAGGCGAGAACAGCACAATCCCCCAGAACTTTCTCGGGAAATCGCTGATTTTGTTATCTCGGGGCCGTCTTGAGGGTTCTCGTGGAGCCATCTTGTGGCGTCATGGGGGCCTTTGGGGCCGTCTGTGGGCCATCTTGGTCGTTTTGTAGCGATCTTGGGCGTCTTGGAGGCTCCCTGGATCCTCTTGGGCTCTTCTTTGGGCCCTCTTGGCCCGTCTTCAGGCATTCTAGACACTGGCAAACCCATGCGGCTAACCCCAAGAGCGCCGAGGAGCTCCTAGAAGATTTGGAAGTTTAGGACCGTGGCCCTTTTTAGAATGTTAGCTGTGTTCAGCGCAGAGAACTCGAAGGGACCTGAGGACACTCCAAGTCGTTCCTCAGGGCACGATGGTTGCGCTGTGTGTAGTTGGTAATAATACCCCTTGTGCATACATTCATTCATTCATTTATACATACATACATACATACATACATACAGACAGACAGACAGACAGACAGACAGACAGACAGACAGGCATACACACACATACATACATACATCCATACATACATACATACATAGGTACATACATGCATGCATGCATACATACATACATACAAACATACATACCTACATGCATGCATACACACATTCATACATACATGCAGACGGACATGCATATATATATGTGTGTACATATATAGGTGTGCACACCTCGTGCTCGCACCTACATGCACACATAGTCAGACATGCATGCATGCATCTATATACATACGTGCATACATACATGCATGCACATATACACACATGTATGCAAACACACATGCGTAAACACATGCATACACATATGCATGTTTACAACCACGCATACATATATACAAGTCTATATACATACACGCATACATACGTGCATGCATACATACACGCATACCTACATGCGTACATGCATGCACACATACATACATGCACAAACATATACCCATACACATACATATATATATATGTTCGCGCATGCCTGCACACATACATGTATACACACATACCTATACACATACATACATACACATATGCATCTATACATGAATGCACTCAGGCATGCATGCAAGCACTCATGCATACCGACATTTAGACATGTATACAGATGTCCACATATACACCATACTTCCAAACGTACATACGCATATACATATGTCATACATACAAGCATGCATGCAGGTCTGCCTGCCTGTCTGCCTGCATGCATGCATACATACAGACATACAGATATGCATACAAGCATCCACAGATACATATGCTGTGTCGATGTGTGTTGCCGACGTTCCGTCGCCGCGCGTCGCCGACAGTGTCGACGGCGGCGACGGTGGCAGCGTCGTCGTCGTCGGCGGCGACGTCCTCGGCGCCGACACCGACGCCCTGGATCGGAGTAGGACACCAATGCGGGTCCCCGTTTGTGGCGGCCGCAAGTGGAAACCGCTCTGCCCCCCGCCCCCCAAAGGAACGGGGAAAGCCATCCGAGGAGGACAGGGGAGAGGGGAGGAAGAACACAGACCTCCGACGTCGTGAGTTTTACCTCAGCGTGTTTCTCCAGAGGTCTGGACCCTTTGCCCGAAACAGGTTGTGATACCCCAGGTAGTTTTTTTTTATCACAGTCACACTCACGCCCAGTCAGTCACTGCTCAAGCCTGTTTAGATTCGAAGTCCCTTGCGTCTAGACACTCACGACGGAAAGGTCCATGCAAATAGATGCACATATGGGGAGTTCCACGCAGGGAATCATTTTTCCCAGGTAGTTGTTATGGCCTCGGGACCCCGTACGGTGCCCAGGAGACCAAAAACGCACGAACATGACCCGTCATGATTGCTTCATGACGCGAGGAGACGGCAGCAGGAAGGAGGTGTATCTGTGTATATATATATATATATATATATACATATATATCTATATATATATATATATATAGATATAGATATACGATTGGGAACTCGCCGAGCGGAGCGACCCGCTGTCCGCTCGCAGGGCACAGCGTGTCGCTGGGGCCGCCGCCGCTGCGACACGTTACAGTGGAGGGCCATGCCAAGAAACACCCTGCTTGCCTCCAGGGTGACCTGGGTTCCTTGGGTTTCCATTCGTTTTGCGATGGACAGCGTGACGCTCCCACGCCAAAAAAATCCGTGGGCGCCCTGGGCTCTCAAGGTTGGGCTTCTTGTGGGAAGTTTCTTGTGGACAAGCCTCCACTGCAATCAACAGCTCCTCACCAGAAGCTGACGTCGTGGCCTCCCTCCGCGGGGCCAGCTTCCTTGTCCAGAGCAGGGCTTTGACGGCCCCGGGACACTGCGAGAACCCCCGGGAGGCCGAGAGTGATCAAAAAAACATCCCGTGGTGAGTGGACGGCGCTCACATCGCAGAGCGGCCTTCATTCGGAAAAAAACACGTTGCTCATTTCTAAGCATTCGAAAGTTATTTGATTTTTTGGGGGGCCAGCATCTTTTCAGTTCTAGTTGCTCTATCCAGAGCCTCTTCCTGGCCACTAGGGGGCCAGGAACAATTAGAAACGAGCACAATTAGAAATGAGCACGATTAGAAATGAACGACGTGTAGGATGGGCCCGGAATGTCCTGGAGAACTTCGGTCTGGATTTCGAGGTGATCTTCGTGCGGAATGTCTTTGGCCAGGAATGAAAACCAAAAGATCACGCGAAGTTCACTTTGTTTTTCACTCGCCGTGTCGGGGTTTTGCATTGACAGAAGTCCACGCAACAATCCGCTGCAGCACGCGACCAGAGCCCTCGACCCCGTCCTTGTAGCTGCATTTTTCGAGCCGGATCGATCTGTGATGGCCCGGGTGCCCGAACCAGGTCGGAGACGCCCCGTGGACAGAAATTGCAGCGGCGGGATCTCAAGCACAAGCTTCGGGCGTTGCCGAATGCAGGGGCGATAGCCAGAGGGGTGAAGAAAGGTGCACCTGTTCGTGCGCCTTCGGAGCCTGAAAGGGGCCCCTTGAGGACCACAAGGGGCACAAACGGCGCAAGCGTCTTCGCCCCCGCGCTTATGCCCTCCCCTACTGAGCCACGCCCACACGCTCCGCACCGTAACTCTAGCCAGGCGCCCCTGCATCGTACTCTCCAGGGTTGCGTTGAGGCCGCGGCCAGCCGCGTGGCTGGAGCACTTTGAGTATGCATCCGTTTTCCCTGGCGCGCTGTGTCCGCTTGGGAGAGGAGAAACGAAAAGCTCATCACCGCTTCTGTGCGACCCTGAGATCCGACGTTGCGAACAAATGCATCACCGCCAACAAAAATCACGAACGGACCCCATGGACCCCAGCTTTCTGCACCATTTCTCGAGCACCATGGCTCTGTGAGGGCCTCGCGGTGCCCGCAACGGGCTGAGAGCGCCCGCCGCGAAAGGAGCTGCAACGCCCAGAGCCCAGGAGACCCCCGTGGCGGCGGTGCCCGATGAGGTCGCGGTGGCGGCGGGCCCTCCCGGGAGGCTCGGCAGTCCCCCCAGTCTTCCGAGGAGTTCCCGCAGCCGTCTCCCCGAAGGCACCAAAAACACTTCTCGGAGGCCTTCCGAGGAAGGACATCTCCTCCTCATCCCCCCCCCCCCTCGTAGACCTGGGCGGCTGCCGGCTTAGGCGGCGGCGCGGGCTCTGGCTGGCCGAGGGAGGTGGCGCTGGCGGGGCGGGCGTGTGCGCGGTGGCGGGAGCGGGGGAGGGAGGGGGGCGGGTGGGAACAAAAACAAGACAACAAGGACAGAACATTCTCCCCCCCCCCAAACAAAAAAAAAAAAAAAAAAACTCGCCGCCGGCAGAGGTCGCGGTGGCGGCGGTGCACGTGGAGGAGGCCGAGGAGGAGCCGCAAGAGCCGGCGCCCGCGGGCGCCGCCGCCGAGCGGGCACCGGCGCGCCGCCCCGCGCGCCGCTCGCCGCCGCCGCCTGCCGCCGCCGCCGAGGGCCGAGCGCCGAGCGGGGGCAGCTGCGGGGGGCGGGGAGCCTTCGGGGCCCGAGGAGGGAAAAGGTGCCCATGCCGCTACCCTGCCCTCGCTCTCCCCGGTTAACGGGCGGGCGGCCATGGGTCAGGAGGGAAGAAACACACACAGACATAATGAATCGTCGATTCCCCCGAAAATATGGGGAAATATGGGAAGTGGTGGGAAGACAAAACCCAGAAAATATGGGAAAATGTGGGGAATCCTTTTATCTGTGTGGATTTATTCAATCGCTTCGCTCATTCCGCCGGCCCATGTTGCATGATCGCTACTGCTTCGCCGTGGGCCCGGGGCCATTGTGGCGCCGCCGAGGAGGAAGAAGATGAGGGTGGGGAAGGGGAGGGGAGGAGGAGGAGAGGATGAGAAGGAGATGAGGAGGATGAAGATAAGTAGGAGGAGGAGGAGGAGGAGGAGGAGGAGGAGGAGGAAGAGGAAGGGGCGGAGGAGGAAGCCTCTCGTTGGCATCTTGTGTTGCTCTTGGGGCCAAACAGGGTCGTCGTCAAGATGCTTCTCTGGGAGGCCTCTTGGGGTCTTTTCAGAAGCCGTTCGAGGGCGCCTGGGAGGCATTTCTGAAGTCTTCTGGGGGGCCTCCTGGGGGCCTCCTGGGACCTCTTGGGGGCCTCTTAGCGGCATCTTGGGGCCTCTTTGGGGCCTCTCGGGGCCTCCTGGGGCCCTCTTGGGGCGGAAGGCTCGAGGTTTTGGTTCGTGGTCCCCCTCTTGGGCCCCTCTTGGGGCCGTCTTGGGGCCGTCTTGGGCCGTCTTGGGCGCCTCTTGGGTCGTCTCGGGGCCCTCTTGGGCCCTCTTGGGGCCCTCGTGGAAGCCTCTTGGCCCGTCTTGGGATGCTCTTGGGGGCCTCCTGGGCCGTCTTGGAGCATCGGATGGCCGAAAAGGGGACAAGGCCCAAATTCTTTCAAAACCATCGTAAAATGTCTGATTTGGGCCTCTCAGGGCCCTCTTGTGAGGCCTCTTGGAGGCCGCTTGGAGGCCTCTTGGGCCGTCTTGAGGTCATCATCGGCGTCTTGGAGCGCTCTTTAGGCGTCTCGGGGGCCCTTTGGGCAGTCTTGGGGGCCTCTTGGGGCACTCTTGGCGCGCTCTGGGGGGCCTGAGAAGCCACACCCAGGAGGAAAACCATCTCTGAGTAGCAGTGGTCGGGCGGCGGTCGGGGTACTTTTCGCCAGGGGACCCCCAGGGGCCGCCCCGCGCGCGCGAACTAGAAGTATTGTTTAGCAGTTACCGGAGATCTTAGCACGCCTTTGGCCCGTTGGGCCGGCGAATTTGTGTGTCCTAGGGCCCCTTTCAATGGGAGGGTATAGCCCACACGGGGGGGTAAAAGGGAAAAGCAGCCCTGCTGGGGCGCGCTTCAGGGCCCCTGCTGGGCACCCAGTGGCTCCAAGAGGGGCCCGACAGGGCCCTCTTGAAGGCCCTCTGCTCCACCCCCCGTGTGGGTCACCTCCCAAGTGCCTCTATACTGGATGCACGGGGTAATCGCATTCGATTGCTCCGTGCATCCGATACACGGAGTAGTCGAGCTCGGTCACTCCGTGTACCCGAGGCAGATTCTAATTGGATTCCTATCGGAGCCTGTAAATTAGCCCGACATGTTCGGCCTCCTGGGAGGCCCTCGTCGCCACCGCTGGATTCGCCTCGAAGTTCTGGTCAGAGCGCAGCGCGGGAGAGGTCAAGGGAGTAGCGGTATTGGTACATTTTAGTTTCCCAAAGGGGGGGGGATGCCAGGCATGCTGTCGTAAAATCGGGGGGTGCTAACGCATCCCCCCCCAACGTTCCCCCCCAGCGTTGACATGGGATCTCATCGCGTCGAGGCTTGAAATTCGAGGTTCGAAGTCCGAGGTTTTCGGGCGGTGTCGTCAGTTCCCAGAGGTTTTCCAACCTCGGGCGGGCCTTCTCAGAAGGCTCGGAAAGCCTTCAGCCTTCTGGGAAGTGTTCGAAGCCTTCCCCGAAGACACCGAAAGCTTCCCAGAAGAACGGAGGGCTTCTGAGAAGCCCCGCCGCCGTCTGAGAAGGCCTGCTCCTTCTCACTTCCCCCCTCGCTCGGCGCCGATAGAAAGAGTCACGACGGAAGGCTTTCGAGGGCTTTCGGCCTCTGGGGGCTTTCGCCGGGCCTCGGGATCGTCAAAGAACGACTCGCAGAAGGAAAACGGAGAGGGTCGGGACATCCGGAGACTCAGCATTGCAAAACTCAAGGCATCGCATGTCTGGGATAGGCTCGAGGGCTCGAAGCTCGAGGTTTTCGAAAGTTTTCGCTGGTTGTCTGCGATTCTCCAGCCTCGGGGTGCTTTCCAGCAGCTGCGCCTCGCCGAGAGCATTCCGGGGGTGCCTGGATCATCCCGAATGGCCGCTGGAGAGCCGAGCCATGACCCGAAAAGACCCGATAACCAGTGTGCAGTGCAGATCTGCGGTCGGGGGCACGCTGGCCATGTGTCGCCGATTCCATGTCCACGTTTCCCCCAAGCCGGTCCCCCCTTCAGTAAGGGGGGGACAGGCTTTGGGGAGGGAACATGTTAAGGGAGGGAACGTTCAGGGAGGGAACGTTCGGGGCCCTGACGTTAATGTCGACGCTGGGAGGGAACGTGAATGTCGACGCTGGGAGGGAAGGTGAATGTCGACGCCGGGAGGGACCGTTAGGGGCCCTGACGTGAACCCTCCCAGCGTCGACACTGAAGCTCGAGGGTCGAAGTTTGCGGTCCTCGGGACGTTTTTCCTAGCTTCCCAAGAGAGAAGGTGTTCCGGCCTCGGGGTGCCTTTTGCCTGCAGCTGCGCCCCTCGCCGAAGGTGTTCTCCCGCGGTGCCCCAGTCGTCCCGAACGGCTCGGGTCGGGGACCCAAGCTTTCAGTCGGGCGTGTCCCTCTACAGGAGGAATATCCAAGAACAGTCAAAAATAGTCCTGGGACGATTGTTTGACGATTTGGCCATGTTTGAGCATTTGTTGACCATTTCTCACTTTTCGCCCAAAATCCGCCTGTAGGAGGACACGCCCGACCTAACCCGAGCTATGACCCAAAGGTCAGACTTCTTCGCGCCGCGAAGGAACCTTGCAGGGAGGGTTCTGTAAACTGTCGCCCTCTGGGGGGCCCTCGCAAGGCCCCGGACCGTCAACAGAACGACTCAGGGAGCCGCGCTGTGAAGAGAGCACGACGCAGGAAGGTTCACGGGCGTCACATGGGCATCCCTGGGCCTCCTGGGACGCCCTTGTCGCTACCGCTGGATTGCCCTCGACGTCCTGGCCAGAGCGCACCCCAGAAGGGGTCTGAGGGTGTTCGCCGTCGTCGCCGTCGATCTCCTTCCTCCTCCTCCTCCTCCTCCTCCTCCTCCTCCTCCTCCTCCTCCTCCTACTCCTCATGTTCATCATCGCCATGATCATCATCAGCATCAGCATCATCATCAGCAGCAGCATCATCATCCTCATCCTAATCCTCATCCTCATTCTTATCAGCATCATCAGCCTTATCCTCCTCCTCCTCCTCCTCCTCCTCCTTATCATAATCATCGTCGTCAGCATCAGCATCAGCATCAGCATCAGCATCAGCATCAGCAGCATCATCAACATCATCAGCAGCATCATAATCCTTCTCCTCCTCATCATCGTCGTCATCATCAGCATCAGCATCAGCAGCACCATCATCGTCATCATCAACATCAGCATCATCACCATGACTGGCATGACCATCATCACCAGCATCACCACCAACATCATGAGCATCATTATCATCACCAGTAGCATACTCATCAGCAGCACCATCACCATCGTCATCATCATCATCATCAGCAGCAGCAGCATCATCATTATCATTACCATCATCACCATCATCATCAGAAGCAGCATCATCATCATCATCAGCATCATCATCATCAGCATCATCATCATCATTATCATCGGCGACGTCGAACACCTTTGTTCAGGCGTCCCGTTCCGCGCAGGCTTCTTCCATATCCCTGTTGCTTCGGATGCGTTCCGCACGATGAAGCTAGGAGGCCGCAGGTCGGACCATCCGGCTGAGACCCAGCTTCGGGAGCACGTCGCTTCCTGCATTGTTGGTACAGCTTGCCGTGGCCATCCACGAGTGTACGGTCAGGAATTGTGGCACGGCGTGTCGCGCCGCCAGTTCTGGCCCACAGCGCTTCGGAACGACGCGCTGTCGACGTCCCAGTCCCCGAGCGTCAGCGTCCCTGGTGGGAAGCCTCCCGTCCCGCGCAGTGACACGCCATCGGCTCGCGGGGCACATCGTGTCGCCAGGGCCACCGCCGCGACACGGTGGGCAACAGTTCCTGGCCGCAGGCACCGACACGGGCGCGCTCTCAGGGAACGCGGATCCCCAGACATCCGCCGATCTGATGTTTTCGTTCCGCAGCCCCAAGGAGGTCCCGACCCCTTCCTTGGGGTTGCTTCGTCGTCCCGGAGCCGTTGTTGACGGTCCCTGGGCTGGGCAACGGGCCCAGGAGGCCGACGTATTCAAGGAAGTTCTCGTCTTCATTTTCTCTTCTCACTTCGCTCAATCATACTTAGCACTGTTCTCTCTCCATTCCTCACCCTGCCCCTGCTCCTGTTCGCGCGGTTACTCCCCTTGCTTCCGTCACGGTCGCCCTGCCCCGCCTCCTGATCATAAGCAGGGTGATTGCCACCCGCCATCCATACATCCCCCATCACCGCCGCCCTGTGTTGTCTCCCGCTTTACCTTTCTGGAGGCCGCAGGGGGCCTTTTATAAGCCTCCTGTTCGCAGAACTCCAAAGGCCTGGAAGTCGCACAGCGCAGGAGCACTCGCCGGCCCTCTCGGGCGATTGCCCGGCAGACGGCTTGGCCGCGGCCAAAGTGGAGGTGGCCTTCAGGCTCGGCTGCGGGAGTTCCTTGCTCAAGCAGGTCTTGCGGCAGCTGCACGGACGTGGGGACGGCATTGCGCCCGAAAGCTTTCGGGACGGCTCCCCGAAAGAGCGCCGCGCTGCAGCCTCGCGTGGTCGACTTGGAGCCCCGGCTGGAAAGCCGTCCAAACTGTCCAGGGAGCTGCGCAAGCACACCGTTGAACAGAGGGGCGCGCGTCGCGGCGTGAAGACTGTGGGGGAGTCCACGGACAAGAGCCACCTCAGCAGCCAAGAACCTTGGATACTAAAGTATACCCCCCTTCCCTCTGAGAGCTGATTTTTCCCAGGCCAAGGCCGTTGGCTGGGGGAAGGGGCGGCGAGACCGCACTTGCGATCCTTTTACGTTGAGTAGCAGCACTATCACGAACGCGTGACTGGGCTATGGGACTCGCGCAAATTCAGTTTTCCGCCTGCACGAACCCGTGGCAGGGCCATAGGAGTCTCACCGTAGCTACGAGTTGCAGGGACGAAAAGGTTATTATCCCCCCGAGCCCTGATCGTTTTTTTATCCCCACCCTGTGATTATCAGGGGTGTAGGGTTACTCTGGTCGTGGCCCGCGTTATCTACTCCCTGGGCGCGAATGTGCTGGCGTTCATAAGTGCCGCAAGTGGAGGAGATGTAGACCACCACCCCCAAGATCCCGACCAGAAAAATCTTCTGTTTTTTGTACAAGAAAGTATTGGTACATTGATTACGTTGGGGGGTTGTCGCTGACTGAAACGGGGCGTTCTGGGAACAGTGTTCGCTGTGGGCCTTTACCACCTACTGGAACCCCCTGGCGTAATCATGGGTTTGCAGGAATTTGGATTGCCCCCTTGGCTGGGATGTGGGGAGCGCTTCTGTGCTCTCCCGCGCAGTGGCGCCGACGTCGCATTTCGAGCACACCTATGGCGGCACCGTGGAGGCTGTAGCCCGCGAGCGGGGCAATTGCCACAAGTGCGGCGCGGCGGAAGAGAAGGGCGCCCGGCGCCCCCGAAGCCGCTTCCGAGTGGCAGCGTGGAGACGACGAGGGCCACAGCCAGAGGCCGGAGCGCCGAAGCGGCCCTTGTCGGTGGCCGCCCCAAAATTCATCACGCCGCGACACGCGTCTCCCTCCTCCTCCTCCTCCTCCTCCACCTCCTCCTCCACCTCCTCCTCCTCCTCCTCCTCCCCCGCCGCGACACGCGTCTCTCTCTCTCTCTCTCTCTCTCTCTGCGACGGTGCGCGCTTGCGCAGCTCCCTGGGCAGTTTCTGGGCGGCTGTCTAGCAGGGGGTCCAGGCCGACCCTCGCGAAGCTTCAGCGCGGCGTTTTCTTTGGGAAGCAGCCGTTCCGAATGTGATCGTTTTCTTATTCCTTGTTTTTGCCGATCGGCGCGGGCCCTGGGACCCCCCCTCACCCCCCCATGGAGTAAATCTTGGTTGTTTTCGGCGCCTGTTTCGAGCAGGTGGGGCCACTCCCCCCTAGGACGCACTGCTGCAAACAGTCGCATGAATTAGGCGTTCGGGGCCAGACCCCTCCCTTCCGCTCAATGCCGAAACGCCGAATAAGAAAACGCTCACAATGCGGTTCTGCACGGCTGTCTCCACGCGGCCGCGCAGCTTCCACACTCACTGCCTGCTTGAGCAAGGAATCCGCGCGGCCGGGCCTGAAGGCCACCTCCTCCGCTTTGGCCGCCGCGATGGCGGCCAAGCCATCTGCCGGGCCGGCGCCCGAGAGGGCGCTGCCAACCGCTTTCTGTGCTACGCGACCCTTGGGCTTGGGAGTTCTGCGGGCACGAGGCCTCTAGAGGCCCCCAGCGGCCTCCAGAAAAGCAAAGCGGGAGGCCAAGGACAGCGACTGGGGGTGGCCATGCATGGAGCAAGGACGGCATTCACGTTGATTATGATCCGGAGGAGGAGGAGCCTGGTGAGGGAAGGAGGGAGAATGACGGCGCGAGCAGGAGCAGGGGGAGGAGGAGAAGGAGTGGCGAAGGAGGAACGCCATGTTAATGTAAAGTAGCGTCACCATGATCTGCGACCGCGCTGCATCCACGGTGCTACCGGCCATTGATCTGCTTGATGTTTCCTAACACCCCGAAACATGATGATATGTATACCGTTACATCTTCCCCACAGAGGGGAGCAGGAGGCAGGGAGGCCCACAGTGAAATCACGCTCTGCTTCTCTCCAAAGGCCACGGTCATGTGCACGGCCACGGTTTCTGTTTGTTTCTCTCTCTCTCTCTCTTGTTTCTCTCTCTCTCTCTCTCTCTCTTTCTCTCTTTTCTCTCTCTCTCTCTCTCTCTCTCTTGTTTCTCTCTCTCTCTCTCTCTAACTATCTGTCTCTTTTTTCTCCCTCTCTCTCTAACCTGGGGGCGCCCTCCGCCTCCGAGATGGCCTCTTTTGCGGCAACCGGGCGCCTCTCCCGCCCGGTCCACTCGCGCGCGCGGGCCTGCTGCACGCCCAACTGGGACCGCCATGCCGCCCCAGTGTCAAAATTTGTCAACAGCCTCGCTCGCTCCGCCGGCCCACGCTGTATCGTCCTTACCGTTTGCTTGCGTGTTTTCGGGCATCGGGAGGGTGTTGTGCGGTGGCAGTGTTCCAAAATCGCGGCGTGAAGCTTGCGCGGGGGAGGAGCAGTCGCCTGGTCGACCGAGCGCAAGATTCAACGGAAGGCGTTTCCGCCACTGCTCCAGCATCAAAGCTGAAAGCACGAGCCAGCATGTTCGAAGGCTGTCGGAACGTCCTGGGGGACTCTTAGGGGGGTCTTTGATTGGCGTCAGGGGGGGTCCTCTAGGGGCGTCCCTGGCATTTCTTGGGGCATTCGGGCCACATTGCGGCTGGCTTGGGGCCGGTGTGAGTGAACTGCCGCTCGATGGTCCCCGCTCTTGGGCTTTGTTGGAGTTCTCTCGGAATCATCCTTGGACCTCCATGTGGGGTCTTTGGATACTAGAGGTGTTGTGTTCCTTCCTGCATGAGCCCAACATAGTCCGAGCTCGCCCCAGATGCGCTCCAACAGACTACGAGGAAGACCCCGCCAGCCTTTCTCCGCGCCAATCCTCCTTCACCTCCTCAACCCCCGATTCCTACAGCTCCTCCTCATCATCCTCCCCCTCCTCCTCCTCGTCCTCCTCCTCCTCCTCCTCATCATCATCCTCCTCGCATCCACCTCCTCTCCCTCCTCCTCCTTCTCATCCTTCTCCTTGTCCCCCTCCTCCTCCTCGCATCCTCCTCCTCCTAGAGCGTGGTGTCCTCCTCCTCCTCCTCCTCCTCCTCCTCCTCCTCCTCCTCCTCCTCCTCCTCCACTTCCTCCTCCTCAGCCAACTCGTCCTGGAGACCTTGCCGTGCACATCGTGCGCCTGCTGACAGCCGCACGAAAGTGCGGCAACAAGAGCAGCAACAACAATTGATTTAAAACAACGGTCTACCCCCGCGAGGATTGCTGCACCAACACCTCCTCGCGTCCTGGAGAAAACGAATGGAGTTGCTGGGCAACGTTGTCTTTCCGGGGGGGGGCTTAGTGGGCCTTCGGACCGTCCACAACAGTTCTAAATGAGGAGCCATTCCCGGAGAGGTAGTCGAAGCATCCCAGGGGCCACGTGGCGAAAAAACATACAACGCCGAGGGCATTGGGTATGGCGTTGTAAACCACATGCGCCCAAGGGGCAAGCGGGATGGTTTGCAAATTGACGTCAGCAGGGTCGTCCCCCAGTTTCTTCCCCTCCTCGCCTCCGTCCTCCTCCGCGTCCTCCACCCCCCTCTTCCTCCTCTCTTGCTGCCCCCTCCGCCTGCCTCCTCTCGTCTTTCTCCTCTTCCTCCTCCTCCTCCTCCTCCTCCTCCTCCTCCGCCCCCTCCTCCTCCTCCTCCTCCTCCTCCTCCTCCTCCTCCTCCCAGAACCTGTCTCCCTGGGGAGCGCCTCGCACTCGACGGGATGTTCACCATTACGTACTTCCTTCAGTGCGCTCATCTCGGCGGGGGCGCCGCCACCGTGCTGCTATCGGCGGCGCTCGCGGTGGCGATGGTCATGGTACAGTGCTGCCACCGGCGATTGTAGCGGACATGCGCGGTGTTTCGGACAGGCCTCCGCGTTGCTATTCTAGGGCCCAGGAGCAGGCCGCCAAGACCAGTGACAGTGCAGTCCTGGCGCTTTCAGTTTGCGCTGCTCGCGCGCGCACGTGGCGTGTGGTACCGTGCCAGCTCAGGAAAAAATGGGATTTATTACGCAGTGCAAGGAGAGCAAGGAAAACGACGACGAAGACGACGACGACGAAGACGACGACGACGACGACGACGACGACGACGACGACGACGACGACGACCAGCAAACCTCGCGTGGAATGTGTTCCGGCCGGAATCCCGAGGGGAATTCAGCCGTGGCGACGAGGGCGCAGAAGGAGGCCCTGAAAGGAGCGAGACGACAACAGAAGATGATCCTCCTCGACGACGACGACGACGACGACGACGACGACTACGACGACTACGACGACTACGACGACGACGACGACGACGACGACGACGACGACGACGACGACGACGACGACGACGACGGCGGCGGCGGCGGTGGCGGGGGAGGCGGCGGAGGCGGCGGTGGCGGCGGAAGCGGCGGCGCCGGCGCTCCGAAGGCAGCAGGCGCCTCCCCGACGGACGCCGCCGCCGCAGAGCCAGGCGCAGGGCCGCCTGGGGGGTGGCGTAGATGTTTTTCGCCCGGGTTGGTTTTCGCCTGGTGCGTTTCGCCCGGTTCGTTTCGCCCGGGTTTGCTTTTGCACGGTTGGTGTTCGCCTGGGTTGGCTTTCGCCCAGGTTGGTTGTCGCCCGGGTTGGCTTTCGCCCGGCTTGGTTTTCGCTGGGCCTGTCGGGCAATGATAGGCTATTAAGTCGGGCTTGTCCCTCTGCAGGAGAAATATGCAAAAATTAATTTAAAGATAGTCTGGGGACGATTTGTTGAGTATGTTTTGGCAATGTTTGATTTCATTTGGACTATCTTTATTTTTCGCCCAAAATCCGCCTGTGGGGGGACATGCCCGACCTAGAATGATAGGCTCAGCAGGGGAGCCATCGAGCTGGAATCGGCGATGCATCGCCGATAGATCGGCAATCGGCCCCCGATACCCAGGGATCCGACGCCCCAAGAAAAAATTGGAGGGAGCGGGCGGCTTTGGGCCATCTTCAGCCTCTGGGGGCCCTCGCCGGGCCACGGGAGCGCCAAAGAACGACTCAGGACGAAAACCCGGCCCCGGGGAAAGTCGGGTCGGACGAAAGGGGGGGATTGGGAAAGGGGGGGTTACGAAATTTGCTGCATGCAGCTGGTTTCGGCCTCACCGAGGGGCCCAGTCCTCGATACATAGCCGCCTCCGGCGCCAGAAAAATCAGCTACGTGAGCTGATTCTCAACCCCCCCCCTTTGCTATCCCCCCTTTTTGCCCGACCCGAGAAAGGGTCCAGACCTCCTGGGGCCCACGCGCGGGAAAAACTGGAGCATAGCCCGAGGTCTGGGTATGGCGAGTCCGCTCTCTCCTGGGCGGGGCGGGCCATGAGGCCCCTATATCGGCGATACATCGGCGATAGAGGGCCGATGCAATGCCCCCTGAGCCGATCCCAGTCCCGTCTGGTGGGCGCATTAGGTGCTCGGCTCCCCGGCGGCCGTTCGGGACGATAATGGCACCCCTCGAAGGATTGCAAAAAAACCTTCGGGTTTTTTTGCAATCCTTCCGGTTGTTTTGCAATCCTTTTTTGCAATCCTTCAATCGACCGCTCTCGGCGAGGCGCAGCCGTTGGAGAGCATCCCGGGGCCGGCAAACCGCGGGGAACCGACGGACAAGCCCGAGAGCCTCGAGCCCCGAGCCCGACACGCTCCCCCCGAGCATAGATCCCCCCGAAGTCGGCGATGCATCGGCGACGTATCGCCGAGGCATCGGGGATGGGGCCATGGACAATGGACACGACGGCGCGGCGGCCCTCCACTCCCCCCCATGGGGGGCGCGGGCGCGGGCGCGGCACGACCGCGGCGTTGCTGGGCCTCTTTGGGAGGGTGGCGTGGCGACGCGGGCGGCCCCGCGACGGGAACACTTGGATGATGTGTCGCTCCGCTTCGGATTCGAGGCTCGAGGTGTTCGGACGTTTCGGGGTTCGAGGTCTTCGGGCGTTTTCATCGCTTCTCGTCGGTCTTGCAGGCCCAGGGGTGCTCTCCAGCGGCTGCGCCTTGGCGAGAGCGTTCCGAGGGTGTCCCGATCGTCCCGAGCGGCCGTCCGGGGAGCCGAGGCATGCCCCGAAGACCAGGGGCCAACGATTGGGGAGGGCTCCTCCTCCTCCTCCTCCTCCTCCTCCTCCTCCTCCTGCCTCCTCCCCCTCCCTCCTCCTCCCCTTCCTCCTCCTTCTCTTCCACCTCCACCTCCTCCCTCTCCATCCCGCCACGGACGGCCACGGACGGCATGGGCGCGTTCTCCGATGGGTCGGATCGCGAAGCCGTGGGGGCAAGCCCGCGGGCTACCCCCCGGAGACCAGGGGCCAACGATGGGCAACGTACGTTACGGTCCAGGGCTTTTGGATCGCGTGCCGTGCCGCTGGTTCTGGCCCACCGCGCTTCGGCGCGACACGCTGTCCACGTCCTAGTCCCCAGGCATCAACGGTCCCGAGCCGTTCCCGGCCCCCCGCCCTGCGGAGCAGAGCGACGCGCGATCCACTCGCAAAACATAGCGTGAGCCCGGGGCCGCCGCAGCGACACGCTATCCAAAAATTCCTGACCGTAAGGGCGCTCAAAAACGTCGACCTTCGACGACAACGGCAACGACGACGACGACGACGACGACGACGACGACGACGAGGACGACGACGACGACGACGACGACGACGAAGACGACGAGGGCGAAATACGTACATACTTAGTGACGACGACGACGTGCCCAGGGAGGGTTGGGCCAACGCTCGTGCCACTTTTGCACCCGCCCCCCCCCCCAGCCCGCGCATACTGGCGCCCAGCACCTCGCCTTGCGCTCCGCCCCTCCTTGGCGTGCTCGCCGCTAGGCCGTTCACCACACACAAGTCGTTGAAAGTAGGTGTTTTCGGATTCCCAGAACCCAGTATACTTCAAGCGCCTTCCTATTTCAAACATCGATATGGTTTGGTTGTTGTCTGTTATTATTTGGGCGGGCCTGAACCCAATCTACTTGATCCGCCTTTTCTACTTCACGGTTTACCTACTTCTTCCGACCGACGTGTACCCGCTCTGCTTCACCTCTTGGTTTTTGCTCTGCCCCCCCCCCAGCACCAGGCTTGGAGGAGGGCCATGGAGGGCCTCGGGGCTTGCTGCGCTCGACGCTGCCCGCAGCTCGAAGCTCGAGGGAGGACGACAACAAGGAAGTCGTTTTGTTTAGGATCCGGCGATAGCCCAGGTTATCGAGCCCGCCCGCCCCCTGCCCCTCCTTTGCCTCCTCCTCCTCGTCCTCCTCCTCCTCCTCCGCCTCCCCCTCCTCCCCCCTCCTCCCCCTCCTCCCCTGCCTCCTCCTCCTCCTCTTCCTTCTCCTCCCCCTCCTCCTCCTCATCCCCCTCCTCCCCCTCCTCTTCCTCCTCCTCCTCCTCGTCCTCCTCGTCCTCCTCCTCCTCCTCGTCCATTTCCTCCTCCCCTTCCTCCCCCTTCTCCTCTTCCTCCCCCTCCACAAAAACTCAACATGAATACTACTCTCCCTCTTCCCCTGATGACGGTTTGAATGTGCTCGACCCCCCCCGCGTACTGTTTTTTTTCCACACAGGTTTCCCCGGGGGTGGGTTTTCGCTTGCATTTTGTTCCGAAATGCTGCTCTCGCTCAGGGGCCGGCCTCATTTTCGGGCCCCGCTCGTTCCGAATCGTGCTCCCGCTGCAGCGCTTTCCGTGCGCCCGGGCCGGCGCTCGGGCTGGGTCCGGGGCCGGTTCCGGCCGGCGCCGGAAAATCGAGTTCCGAGGCGGCGCCGAAAAAAGGCCATTCCAATACACATTTTTCTTTTGAAAGTGCTGAATTTTTGCTCCCGGCGCCCGGGAGGCCTCCCGGGCCGATTCCGACGCCCGGGCCGGCGCCCGACCTGGCGCCCGGGCCGGACGCCCGAGCCGGCGCCCGGGCCGGCGCCTGGGCCGGGTCCGGAACCGGTTCCGGCCGGCGCCGGAAAATCGAGTTCGGAAGCGGCGCCGAAAAAAGGCCATTCCAATACACATTTTTCTTTTGAAAATGCTGAATTTCTGCTTCTGGCGCCATGGAACTCCCAGGCCGATTCCGGCGTGCTTCCGCACGTTCCGAATCGTGCTCCTGCTGCAGCGCTGGCGTCATTCCCCGTGCCATGCCACGGCATGCAGCGCAATGCTCGGTTGATACTACGCCTCGCGGTGCTCTTCTACGCCATGCCATGCCGTGCTCTACAATGCATCGCGTACCCTTTCGGGATCATTGCCCTGCTCGACATCCGACTGTGCGAGTAGAGAGGGGATCTGCGCCATGGTAAGGGATGGGAGGGAGGGGTAGGATGTCAGATATGACGCGAGCGCACCTTGTCCTCCTCCCCCTCCTCCTCCTCTTCCTCGTCCTCCTCCTCCCCTCCTCCTCCTCCTCCTCCTCCTCTTCCTCCTCCTTCTCCTCCTCCTCCTCTTCCACCTCCTCCCCCTCCTCCCCCTCCTCCTCCGCCTGCTCCTCCTCCTCCTCCTCCTCCTCTTCCCCCTCCTCCCCCTCTTCCACAATTATTCAATATGAATACTACTCTCCCTTATCCCCTGATGACGGTTTGAATGTGCTCGACCCCCTCCCGCGTATTGTTTTTTTACACACAGGTGTCCCCAGAGCGGGGTTTTCGCTTGCATTTGTTTCCAAATGCTGCTCTCGCTGAGGCGCCGGCCTCATTTTCGGGCCCCGCTTGTTCCGAATCGTGCTCCCGCTGCAGCGCTGGCATCATTTCCGTGCTCCCGCTCGTTCCGAATCGTGTTCCCGCTGCAGCGCTGGCCTCATTTCCGCGCTTCCGCTCGTTTCGACTCGTGTTCCCGCTGCAGTGCTGGCGTCATTTCCCGTGCCATGCCATTGCATGCCATGCAATGCTCGGTTGATACTACGCCTCGCGGTGCTCTTCTACGCCATGCCATGCCGTGCTCTACAATGCATCGCGTACCCTTTCGGGATCATTGCCCTGCTCGACATCCGACTGTGCGAGTAGAGAGGGGATCTACGCCATGGTAAGGGATGGGAGGGAGGGGTAGGATGTCAGATATGACGCGAGTGCACCTAGCTTGTCTCCTCCTCCTCCTCCTCC